TTTTAGATTTGATAACGTTGTATGCACTGTGTATGCTTTTCTTTGTCTTCGACGTTCACTGATGCGTAGAAGAATGACTGGTCTGTGAGAAGATTGTGGAACGTCAAGCGTAGCGACGGATCATCCGATTAACGATTTTATCGAGATAACTCGAATATATTAATACTCTCGCTCGGAGTTATGTCTCGGGAGGTTATGTAACACTTGATTCCATACGTCCGATTTCCCATAGAAAGTGCATTAGGAAAGTGACTGGCCGAGTTTATACGACAATAAATTATTACCTTGCGCGAGTCTAAGCTTATGGCGTGGAGTTACTCGTGACTAAGATTCAAAAGCTTTTGCGATAAGCGATAACAAGCGAAAGTAGAATCGACTATTAATATTTGTGAAATGAAAGGAGAAGGGTATTCAAAATATTTGAGGGAAAAATTGTGTTAGTGGCATTAGAATTTGTAATAATAAATTATGCATTTCTTGATTTTTTAAATTATTTTTAATTTTCTTTTAATATTTCTTGAACAAACTTTACTTTTAATTATTCATTATTGTATTTCACAGTTTAATAGTACTTCGGTATCATTCAAGTAGCTACTCGAGGCATTTTTGACCCTTTACGTTGGTATCGATTTGCTTTTAAGCATTTCGAATTTCCCGCTATTTCGTAGTTCACCATTGAATATACGAGTGCTATCGGATATCTACTTTAATTGTTTATATGGAACTTAAATTTTATCAATTTTGAAACATAGAACCGTGATAAGTTCGAAACCAGAGTGCTTTGTGGAGCTGTTGAAAAATTCAAAACTAATTTTCAAAATATGCCTTTTTTTAAATTCTTTTTTTCAAGCTTATATTTATCTTTTTTCTTCTTATATCCCGATTAATGATAAAGGCGAGATTAGCAGTTACGGTGGTGATGTTAATTAACGTTTTACAAAAATCGACTAAATTTCCTTTTAAGCTTTAATAGAGTCTCACGTGTTTTCTAACGTTATATGGTAACTGTACGTCAGACGTGTTTTTGTCGCAAAGGCTGCTGGGCTGCTGCTAATATTTCGAGCTAGATGAAATCGATAAATAAAGGAGAGTCTCGTATGTACATATCCAGCTACTATGGCTACTATGGCTACTATGGCTACTATGGCACACTGCACCCAGTAAACCCAGCCAGAATACCAGCACGTATCGACACTAGAGGCACACTCGCACACTGCACTTTGCACGATCGCTGAGAAACGGACGGACGGATGACACAATAGACGAGTGGAATACGAATGCACTTTCCTGGACAAATAAATGCATTGAGTGATACGCGAAGCTTCCTTGTAAATATCAACTGTTAAACATTAAGAATTCCCGGGGGTTCGAGGCTACTTCTATGCTTTTATTTACTCTCGTCCATCTTTTTACCGTTTTTGTTTTCTAGTTATGATTTGTCTACATATGAGCGATTCAGGCATTTTTAGGCAGTTTGATCTGTCGGTTATGATTGGAGTATTGAAAATAGTAAAAGCTTTTTTTTAATTAATTATTACGGTACTGTGACAGTTTTGGGTTTAAAGGAATACACGTATGTGTTATCCGATGTATGATGAACTCATAGATAATTTTTTAGTCTGATTATAATACGCTTGTGTTTCTGATAGAAACTTGTATACCAATACTCGTCAACTTTCCTAGCTTCTGAAGTATCCAAAGTTTGAGATATATAATGTTAAAAGATAGGGGTACGAAACATTGTGTAAATTATTGATATTCTAATTGCAAGCTAAAAAACTTACTATACTTTGTAGGCCGTAACAAGCTTTATAATTGCTTTTCATGTAAGTTTCTATAATTTTGAAAAAATTTATTAGGAAAATATGACAATGCGTTAGTGTGAATAATTCAGTTTTCAGCAAAATATTGTTTCTTTTTTCAAATTTCAAATGTATTTTTTTTTTCAAGAATGTCCGTTTTAAATACTTTTAATTAAAGTTCACTTAAAATTCGTTTACTACTGTTTTCAAACGTGCCCCAGATACCACAGTCCCGGCTGTAGGAGAGGAGGATTAAGTCTGTGGAAATTCTCAAGTTTTTCAAGCATAGAAGTAACTGACGATAAACTCAAGAAACTTCAGCTAAATACTTAACGTAATAACCTATTGACAGTATTTCGTGACGAAGTAAACTTTACAAATGAACTAATTAATTATAAAAGATACTTAATGGATCGCCGAGGGTCATAATTAACTGGCTTTGATTTCTGTCATAAAAAAACAGCACAAATTTTAAAGTTCTTCTATCTATCTATCTCTTGTTTTTCCATGATAACATTTTTTTTCAGCGAGTACCTATAGTCCATTCGCATTAAATTCGTAAAAAATCCCGTCAAATATCTCCATAATCTGTAATACAATATATCCACTCTGAAATACTTGTCATTTTTGAACATTTTTATTTCACAGAATTTTTCTTTCAAATTCTAACTAACAACCGCAATCGAGCAGAAACTTTTTTTTGAACCTTTCAGCTTAAAAGAGAACGAATTCTGGGCGAATGACGATGCATTTCTTTGACGTGTCACGGGGTCAACAGTTATCAATGAGTTGAGGTTACTCATTACTTTTTCACGTACTATGTGCATATGAACTTTACAATAGACTCTGCGATCACAATACCCGTTGTTCTTGTCGTAAGTCAACGTAATGGTAGCAGGGTAAAAGTTTTCAACGACAACGTCAACAAGGGACATAACGTAATACAACATTATGAAGCTTTCATTGTCCCACGAGTAATTAAACGTCGTCGTCAGAAATTGTCTTCATTGTCATATCATCCTCAAAGGATTAGCTCACTATCATTCAACATGTATACCGTATCTCAGTCGCTAGGGAGGGATTGTACTATTATCATACGCGTACAAATATCGTTCTTCAATAGTTTTCTTATTTGAGTTGCAACAAAAATTTGTCAACGTCGCAACGTTGTATGTTGATATTGTTGATGTGATACAGTGAAAATTTACGTGCCCTGGTATTTTTTGCATATATTAATATTAAATATATTCGAAGTAAATAAATTTGGAGCCTGTAACTGACAGTTGTTGTGTAAATAAAAGTTGTTCATAAATCCTAAAAATACCTATGACGGGGTAACTGAAATGAAACTGTAACGATTAATTGAATTTATGAACGTTTTGTACCTAAATTATTTTATTTACCGATCCGCTGATGAATAATAATGATTTTTTAAATTTAACAGTGTTCACGACTCGTGAACTTGATTGGAACAGTATAATTTAAAAAAATTGTATTTATGCTTCTTTACGTCGGACAAATAAATGATGCCTGCGGAACAAATTGATAATTACGCAAAAATTGTATGCAGCTTTATTATAATAATTGTATGAATTATTTTCACTATAAATTTGTGTATTACTATTACATGCATTATATCACAAGTATATTAATATTATAATTATAATGTTATGCGATCGATATAAATATATTTCACATGTTACTGTGTGCTTTGGATTAACAATATAGTCTGTACCTACGTTGTATCAATTTGTGCCACTTAGTTCTTCCCCTTTTAAGATATTTTAATTGAAGTTTTCTTTTTATGTATTAATTATAATTGTTTTCATTAAAAATGAGCCCCAAAGGTTACAAATACCTCGTAAGCCACGTTTAATATTATAATACAATTAAATTTTGAATATACCAAATTATCAAGCATACGTTCAATACCAAAATATATTTGGAATAAAATTGATACATCGATCGAGCTTAAAATACTCACTTGTATCGTATATAACAATTGGCAATTATCGGAACTTTTAAAAAAAAAAGGTCTATCTACGACTTTGAAAAAATAATTGGAATAAAAATAACAAACGAAACGGTTTAGCAGACAGAAGTAAAAAGAAAATCATTGAAGTCTGGAATTTTCCATTTTCCCGAGTCCCACCGACCTCTCGGCGCGTAGCTGAAGTAACGGAGCTTTTTCCAAGGACAAGGTACTTAAACGTGTTGTTCGCTAAGAAAATACGTTCTTTCACCGAACCCCATCGCACACCCAAGAAACCCGTTCAATAGTTCGCAATGCATTCCTGACTTCATTTCCGCACCAAGATCAAACTTCCCAAAGAATACAAACCTGGTCCAAATAATGTTAGACAGTGAGAGAAAACTATGCCAAGTTGAAATCTGACATAAATTGTGAATAAATAAGATTGATATTCGGTACAGAAAAAAAAAAAATTTTTAAATAATATAACTTCTCAAATATCTACCAATTTATTTATTTTTTAAAAATTAAAATCTTTAATCGATCCATCCTATTTCTTACATTTTCTTCTCCCTTACTATATCTTTCCACGGATAAGATAAGGTCAACCGTACACATACACATTTTGTGCTCCCTTGACAGAAGCGATCTTTTGTTTTTACCTTCTTCGCTCCCCGTTCCCCGACGCCCCCTAACGGTGACATGAGGTTTCCGTTACGGCGCTGTATGTCTGCCTTCCTACCTGCCAGCTTCTCTTGCATTATGGATGCAACAAGCCCTCGCAGAAACAATCCACGATCTAGCTACGGCGTAGCGGATCCTGCGTCTAAGTTACGTCGTGGACCAAAAAAGGCTCTCACCATTTTCCATCCCCGAAACGTCTGCGAGAAACAAAGTTACGTATTCGATTCGTGGACGTCTTCGACACTCCCTATGTGGGTATATGAAATATGAATGGACCAATTTCGGACATGTTCGTTACTAGTCAACTCGAGAGGGTCGATTGAAATATCGAAAAAACGACGATTTTTATTACGTCACATACTGTATATAATGTAAATTAAATTTACAGGCGATTTCGAAAATTACAATTTTTTCATTAAAATTATACGCAGAACTTATAGGTTAGGAAAAATTATATATGGAAGGCATAGGGTGCAAAAGTGTATTGACGATTGCATCTGTTATTCTGTTTCTTAAGATCTTCGTATTAATTTGTTTTTCAGAGCAACACTACGTGGCTGCGGACTCGAATAGTTCGACTCCGGCAAAAAGCTTTGTTCCGTGTAAGGTTTGCGGAGATAAGGCGAGTGGTTATCATTACGGAGTCACCAGCTGCGAGGGTTGTAAGGTGAGTTTTGAAAGTGTATATATGTTGAGAATTGTATCGAGGATTGATATAATTTTTTTTGAAAAACTTTTTTTCCAACGAGACATTAAATCTTCTTTGACCAGGTTTAATAACAAAATAATACGAAAGCATCGTGAAAAGATGAGCGCAAGTGCAAGTGCCCGTAATCTGCAAGGCATATAATATTTAACGAGTATTCCTAAAACGTAACAAAAACTTTGTATTTCTATCTCAGCAAGTCCATTTTAGGTCGTACATTCTATACTTTACGAGCTGCAATTAGAGAGACCAAAAGGTCGAATATAATTTCGGAATTTTTAAATAATTAAAGAAAATCATTGTCTAGGATTCGATTTTTTATTAATCTGGCAATACTATCTTATTAACTGAAAACGAATGCAGTTCGCGAAATATGAATATCAGTCAATCAGGCTAAACCTTCGGTTCAGATTTAATCGTGAATGTGAAATTAATTGTTAATAACGTGTCTCAGACTGATACTTGTTCATTCGCTATTAGTATATCTTGAAATATTTGTACAAAGATTCTAGAAAGCAATTCGACGATTAATACTTTAACTGTGTCACAAATCATCAATGATCAAGAAAAGTTAGATCTTTATAAAGATTTCAAAATTTATCATCCTACTATTATGAGTGCGATCGTGAAGTTTTCTTAAGTTTCATTTGCCAACATAAACGTCAACTTGAAAGACACGTGGGTACAATCTTATTACATTTTTGATACTAATCAATCCACGTGTCGTGTTGACTTGTACGGTCAATTTGACAGATAAATCGTAAACATACTAAAGTTCTTAAATTAATTTCAACTTCTTTTTTTTTTTAACAAGCTTGATTAAATTTTACATGATTTACTATGTGGTCATATATTGATTAGTCTGTCAAATTATTTAATTATAATGCTATTATTAGGTATACTGTTGAATAAAAGCTAGGATGCTATATCGAGTGTCGCATTGAATATTGAGCATTGTGAAGTTGCCTACTTCTGTCGGAAATACAATACATTAACGAGTACACGTAGATAGTCAGTAATTAACCAATAATTAAATATTTCGTAATTATGAGCGTGATACTTGTCGCACCACTCCATTAGTTCGTTATCACTGTGTTTTAGTTATTTTATAATCTTTTTGTAATCCGTAGCAGTTAACGCCAAATAATTTATTCTGATTCTCATATTTATCTAACCTAACCTAACCTTGTTATTTTAATATTTCCGATTTATAATAAACTAGCTAAAAGATTCGTTATCATTAAACGTCACTTGTATCTGTTTCATTATTACAAAATGCATGTATGCGAGTATACCTTTTGTTTAGTTGAGCAACAAAATGTTGTTGTTTTTTCATGATGTTAAATAAAAAAAAATTTGTCAGACTATAAAGAAATTTTTAGTATATCTTTATATAGTTGATTGTGTAATAACTAATTAATTGAAATTAATAAGGTAGAAGAAATTTATTATTGAAAATCAATTTTTCTTTATAATTCAGAACTTTTGGTTATTTAGCAGCTTTATTAAAATTTTATCAAGAAATATCATATACAGTGTGAAATAGTTTAATGATTTTGTTACACAAAAGTATTAATCATCAAACAGAAACATATATGATGTATGCAATACGTGCTTAAAGTGCAACTCAAATTGTAGAATGTGGCACGATATTTTGTTGTAGAGACTGAGAAAAAGTTTTGGTAAAAAAAACATTCAATCGAATTAATCCAATCCTGGAGCAACGAATTGCCAACAACATACGTAATGGTTTCGCGTACAGCTTTTATCTAAGCAGAAAAATATTTAAACAAGTTTTGGAGCAATTTGAAGTATATATATTTGGTGCCTCCGGGTGTCGTCATTGTAACCGTATATCACTTCAACGACGAAGCACGTGTAGTTTCTGAAATTGAGCAAAGTAGCTGGCTCTGTTGCTTTAACCAAACATTATTGACTTGATTAGGTACATGTGGCATACTTGAGTAAACTTGATCACACGAAGTTTATTGTGACTACGCGATGAACATGGGAAAACAAGGCAAACTTTGTTCAATCGACTTTACCATATTTAATAAAAAAAAAGTTCACTGAAAACAAACAAAGTTTCACTTGACCGCATCCCAACAATTGATTTTACCGAATTTATTTAATATAGATAAAAAGTTACACAAATATTAAGTCTTATGGTAGTTATACCAGATGATTTGAAAAAAAAAAAAATCAATATTTGTCAGTCATTATGGTTTCTATAGTTAATCAAATTTTCGGTCAATACTGGATAAATGATCTGCAATCTCTGTGATTAAATACTTGAAAAAATATTGTATGATCGGTAGATTATTAATATACAAAGTCTCCATCTGCCAATGAAATGTGGATACTAGGGACTCTTTTACAGTGAAAGTCACAAGAAAATGGCCCCCAGAAATATATTTTCTTCAACAGCAGAGCGAAAACGTGCACTTCTCGAATGGGGAAACGTGAAAGATTGAAAAATTGAATAGGAGTGAGGTGACATTTGCCGACGAATCCAACGGCCAGCTACCACCGGGGCAATTGTTTTTTTCACGTAAGCTGTACGATGCACAGATGTTTCATTGTCAATTCCTAAGTTAGCAAACTAACCTGCTTATTTTCATCGACCCAAGAATCACCCACTACGTGAAAACTCGGGTTCGCTCCGCTGTTGAAGAAAACAGTATATGAACCGCGAGAGAAAACGGGCGTTTGTGCCTTGTATAAAGTCGAGGACCCCTCGGCTTCGCCTCGGGAATCTCAACTTTATACGCGGCGCAGAAACGCCCGTTTTCGCTCTCGGTGCACAATATACTATTGTTCATGAACAAACTTTATTATATTTGTCCTGTTTATTGTCGGATATATTTCCATGTCACTGATAACTAGAATTATATTAATCTTGTCTCCATTTAGAAAGGCTGTTGGTTTACATGTTACGTCAAAACGTGAGCGCGAGTCTCCGATTGCGTAATTGTCAGATCAATGAATAGGTTACAGAGAAACCGGAAATTTCTCTCTGTCTCTGAATAACAAATTCAGGATATTAGGAATCGATAATGCTCAGGCGAAATCATTCTGGTAAATGAAGTAGTGCTTCGATTCATGGGATTTATGGGAACTGGTGGACTTATTATAGGAAATCGACGAATTCTCGATCTAAATATTGGTTCAATATATCGGTGATGAATTAAAAGGCTTAAATTTTCTATAGTGAAAACAACTATACGCTTTTTCATGGTTGAGTCGATATTGATTGGCTGGAGTGGCTTTATTGAAATTAGTTATTGTAGATGGAGTCACTGCTTAAATTGGCGCTGGATGAAATTAACCGGGGAGGTCATGGATATAAATGAAATAATATTGATAGATTGCTTCCGCTTGAAAATTTTCACTGACGCAAATCCTTTTTAATAACTTTATTTATTTTACACTTTAATATAATTCAATTAGTTTTAAACCTTTTCGACATTTTTTATTCTGCTATATTATCATTACTACAATTTTCAAATTTGACTAATACCATTTTTGACGTTCGATTACAAAAGTACGTCGCGCACCAATTACTTTGGTTTTATTGACTGACAAGACAGGGACCTCGGGTGTCCCTCTCCGATTTCGTTCGTTTTGAAATATATTATTCTCCATTGAAACCTAAAAGACACGTTTTTTTTTATCGGCGAAAAAACACTTTTAGTATAGATTCCAGTCGAGATATTCAATTGGGACCAATTGGAAGACAATCCTCATGATAAATAACGAAAAATGCATTTTGGTCGATTCTGGTGGTACGAATGCATAAAAATTGATAGGGATTGAAAAGTGCGAAATTTTTATAATAAAAAACTCCAAAGAGGATTGGACAAATGATTCCCAGTACGAAAGACCGTAGACCACCACTGAGTGTCCCAGAAGTATACAGAAATTTCCTGCTCCTGTGGAAAAGTGTACATTGGTGAAACCGGGAGGAAGATCAGTACACGGGTCAAAGAACATCAACGGTGTACCAAATACGGTAATTTTTCTCAATCTGCCTTAGCAAAACATTGGATGGACACTGGACAGTCAGTGGTATATGAAATAGCAAGTAAACCCCATTTGGCAGACCGTTCTTCCGATTTTTTTTAACTGATCAGCTGATCAACGAAACAACTTATGATCGGCCGAAGCACTGATCCGCGTGAGCAATCATAGGTATATTAAGACTTCCTGACAACAGGGAGCTTCGCTATCGGAGCTTCCTAACCCCTGATGATGATGAATTAAACGTTTGCGAAAGGTCGGCACGAAGCTGAACACGTACGTAGCCGCGCGGAAAAAAACAGTCTCGGAAAGAGTTTCGGAGGTTGTTGCTGCGAGGTAGAAAAGAGTCGCGCATAGGATCCGATGCGAGACTGTCTCTCCAACTTCTTTCTAGATTCGTGAAATTTAAAATTTTTCACATGGAAAATAACCGCGGAAGCTTGAAATTATAAATTAACTTCTTTGTAACAAGAGGCTATTCTAAGTTTTTATTATCGGTAACTTGGAAATTCAGGACGTGATACGATGCAACAGTTGGATTTCCTACGAATGGCTCGCACAAGATATTCCGAATTTTGGTCCTGACATTTGCCGGAATCTTAAATGAGTAAATTAGGATGCAGGAAAACTTAGCAAATAAAAAATCAACAATAGAAAATTCGAAGTTGCGAATATATTTTGTACTGAATTTTTTTTATCCACGTAATAATAAAAGTCTTACGTATCTAAGGTCACACAATTAACCATCGCTTCAGTTCAATTTCAATTCATAGTCATGCTTATTGATAAGCTCTTCATGAGTATTAGGACAGTTAAAAAAAAAACGCTTTATGTTTTGGTTGAGCTGCTCATCGAGGTTCTTGCTCATTGTCACAAAATACAGGTTTACGTAGAAGGGCCAGCATTAAATAATATTTTTTCCTATTTTTTCTAATCTTTTTATCAATGAAGGCTCGACAGTCACGCATCGGATCCTACGCGCGACTCTTTTTCTAACTCGCAACAACAATTTACGAAACTCTTTTTTTCCACACAGGTAGCTTGTACGGTCCTTGAAAATCAAGAGAGTCCTCAGCTATCATTTCGATGCCACAGATCTGGTTCGTTGCATCCAATAAAATAGTTTCAATCTGTCCTTCTCACTCAATTTCTTTATGATTTATGGTAATTTCTTTTATTTCGAGCGATCAAAATGTGGCAAGCAAAACTTTGAGAGAGTTTAGATAATTTAGCTGCATCTTTAATACTCTTCAAAGACTACATTATTTTTACTTTCAAGAGATACTCAAGCACTCTCGCGATCTACTACTTTTTTTTTTTTTTAGCATTTTTCGTATTTTTATACACACTCTGCTCCGCAGTCTCTACCTTGTTCGACTGATAACGTGTAATCTTATGAACATATTAATCCGCTTACCGAAGTTCATTGATACGAAACTATTGTCGTAATGAGCAATGAGACAGAAATAGCGTATCTATCAGTGATGAGTTATTTTTAATAACTTTCTTTCGCAAAAATTACGTACTTCCATAAAACCGTAACAGAATGTCTTTAAGAATTGAATTTTCCTCGCGAGCTTACATGGAGTCCCGTCAGAAGGGCGTCAGGAAACGAAGAGGTGGTTTTGGTAAACATACAACCGAACGTTATTGAAACGATTAGGCATCCGAATTGACACGTGAAAAGAGCTTTATAATAATTGAGAAGGCCAACTGAAGCGAGATAGTGCCGCTAAATGAGAAATTGCTTGCACCGGCATAGGGATGGTGGTTCACCCGTTAAACGACCTTTTTTCGAAAAATGCAAAAATATCTATCTCCTACTTTTTTGTACTATTTTCAAATGCATTTGCTATCATCAGAATCAAAACGATAGTTTTAGTAGTTTTTTTTCTCAAAAATTCGCACTTTTCAATACCTATCAATTTTTATGCATTCGTCCCACCAGAACCTATCAAAATGCATTTTTCATTATTCATCATGAGAATTATCTTCCGATTGGTCCCATTTAAAAATCTCGACTGAAAATATGCGAAATTGCGAAAAGCGCCCTGGAGAAACCCAGCTCAACTTTGGGGGTTGCTTTTACCCCCTAAAGCCGTTTTTCCGCCGATAAAAAAAAAACCGTGTTTCTTAGACTTTAACGGAGAATAGCATATTTCAAAATCGGAGGGACACACCTGAGAGGTATCTTCCTTGTCAGTCGGGGTTGTGAATACCGCTTTACTATATCTGTATAGTCATTTAATTGTTGGTAGTTATCCAAGATTATTATCAGTCAAAGTTTTAAGAATGAAAGACAAATGAAAGAAGAAAAAAATTGAAGTCGAAGAGTTGCGTAATTTTTAGTCAACCATAAAACTACACAAATTTTTTAAGAACTTTAGACATTTTTATTGCAGCTCTCTAACTTTGCGCACTCTTTGTTAACCTTTCCTTTGGACACTAATACGAAATTCAGATTTTCTATTTTTTCATCTGTCTTCATTTACAAAATCGATTGGACCTGTTTCTATCCCTGTGACGACATTTTTTTTTTCGTAAACGTCATCATTGCCATTCGACAGAGGATATTTGAAGTAAAAAAAATGTCAAGAATAAAAATTAACCGATCCAAATCTGAGATATAAGCTGTTGAAAATCGCTCCAACAAATTTGCAAAAATTTTTCAAATTAAGGGTCTGAAAATATACGTGTAAACGAAGGGGTTAATAATAAACTAAGGAACGCTTCGATATGAAGTAAGAAAAGTTGCTTCGCGTTCGAAATTGGTTCCCTAATATGTCGAGGCTAATCACACGCCTTGAAAAATTTTGTCCAAATTACAATTTTCGCGTAGCATTCCTACAGTTTACATATTTAGTAAGTTGGACAAAATTTATACGGAAGACGCAACGCAAACCATGTTAATCACAATATGTCGCTTATTAAGCGAGAAAACATGTTGGAAACATCGACCAGGTCAACCTCGTCTTCCACCTGCTGTTATAAAGTAGCACTTGGGCAACGCGTCGTTTGTTTCACTTTTGCGCAATGACAAGTACCAACTCACCGTAATTTTCTCACAAAAAAAGAATACAATTACACAGACACATATCTCTCTAAAGATTTTCACGAACAATCTTACATATACATAAAAAATAAATTATTTTTCTACTTAATCGAATAACTAATTTCTTCGTTATTTTTTATTTCACATGCAGCACTCAAAATATACGATCCAATATAATTTACGTTTGGTGCGATACAAGAGTATCCATTATTATTGATATATTAGCTCAAGTATTACAATTCGAAGTAATATGAAAATTATCAAAAACGAATATTACCAGCTTTTGTAAAATTTTCATATCCTATAATTGTGTACAGTCTGTCACATAAATATTTGGACACTACAGTATTTCCCGTATTAACGCCTTCGTAATAAATTATGAAAACGAATAAATTATTTTGTGTCATGAAAACGGTCAAATAATAATAAAACAGTCAAGAGAAATCTATAAATGCATTTTTCGTCCGCTACCGAAGTAAGGTCATCCGCTGCTACTAAACTGCATTAAAAAAACCGCCAAAATGCGCAAAACAAATGCACTTCGAAAGCTCACCAAAAATAAGCTCATCCAAACGACCCTCTTTGCAGTCCCTCAGACCTCCCACTGTATGAAGCCTCCTGAGTAAAATCCCCATACTGGAAAGAACTAGGGGTCTAAGCAGAGGGAATTGGCGAAGAAAAACCTAGAAGCAATTGTTCCGCTACGAATCGCGCAGACTCCGAACATAAGAACCGGACACAGGCTTTCCACACACCCTATAGTACAAATGCAGCTAGCACCAAACAATTGAATATCAGCCACAAGCTTACACCATACAAATGTTCAATCTACCATACGTAGATATGCACTGTGACACGCACGCAAATACTATAATCGCACATTAAAAACGGGCTGAAGGATCCAAGGTCGATGGCCTATTAGCCAGGGAGACTCAAAAATAAATTCTCAAATCAACCAACGACCACTCATAGACTTATGCACCCATGTGTATTTTGTTTCAACCATAAATTTTTTATTTGTATAATTTTTATTATTATAATAAATCATTGTCATCAGTTCAATTACAAGATTGCTAAAGTGATAAAGTTTTTTCAATGAGAATATTAAGTTTTCATAATTTTTATAGAATTATTCAAGTTTTACCTTTGGGTATATACGTTGAGGTTAGGTCAAGCCATATTACTCAAGTATACTTGAGTATACATACATATGAGCCGCTCAGTGCACACATCGATTAACTCCACTTTTTGAAAAATCTTAAATTTAAGTGTCAAAGCACTTGGTATAGTCATAACTTTTTATATTTATAATAACTTTCCTGAATAATAAAGATTAGCACCATTAAACGGCACAATTTTTTTGGCCATTGAATAATAAGTAATTTACAATATACATTGCTTCATCGCATTTCTCAACTTTTTGTTTTATCGAGTTAATCGATGTGTGCACTGAACGGCTCATATATTGAATAGCTCGATCGAATCTATTGACTTGAAGAATTTATTTATAACAGGTAAACAGTAAGTATTGTAATAGGAAAACTATGAGATTGTCAAAGGCGAATCAAAATATTTACTTTTAGAATCGTACGAGAAATTTATTATTACTAAGGTCAGGTTTCAATCGATGCTTCTTTTTGTTTCAGGGTTTCTTCAGACGAAGTATTCAGAAGCAGATCGAGTACCGGTGCTTGAGGGACGGCAAGTGTCTCGTGATAAGATTAATCTATTGACTTGAAGAATTTATTTATAACAGGTAAACAGTAAGTATTGTAATAGGAAAACTATGAGATTGTCAAAGGCGAATCAAAATATTTACTTTTAGAATCGTACGAGAAATTTATTATTACTAAGGTCAGGTTTCAATCGATGCTTCTTTTTGTTTCAGGGTTTCTTCAGACGAAGTATTCAGAAGCAGATCGAGTACCGGTGCTTGAGGGACGGCAAGTGTCTCGTGATAAGATTGAATCGAAATCGTTGTCAGTATTGCAGATTTAAGAAGTGCCTAGCAGTCGGCATGTCCAGGGATTGTAAGTATCTGAAAGTGTAGTTTAAGAGAAAATATTTATTATAAATAATTATGTCCCTGATTGATTTTCATTTACACAATTTTTCGTAATATCGTTGATGGAAAAATCACGTAATTAAAATTGCACGTTTTGTACGCCAACTATTAAAACTACTTCCTCATTTGTGTTCTCGTTAGAATTTTATTCAACTTAATCAGTCACCTCATTTAAATAATCTGACAAGTTTAACTTGAAAACCGGTATGTTACAAGTAGAAATCTTCTTTTTTTTATTTAGAGTGATTGCCATGGAGTATATCGTGTTACATTGATAGAAAAAAAATAATTTTTAAAAATAAGATTGTTATTGTGCCCGTGGCCTTTTGCATAATTAGTCACAAAGTTGTATTTTTATTGAATTTAGGGGATTTGAGCAAACTGTTGATGATGATTATTTAACTCTTTGTTGCATATTGTTGTACAGGTTTGATCAATGTTTAATCATCTAAGTTGTAAGAACTAAAGTTCAAAGTCTTTTTTTAATAAAATATTTGATTACGTATTTTTCTAGAATATTTCATGTTGTTCGACTATCAAGAGGTTCCTTGAATTAACAAAATAATTATTTACAACCATATTCTAAATGATTTATTATTAATAAACATGCGTTAAAAAGTTGTCTTTTATCGTCAATTAATTTGATTATTAAAATATTGAATGTTAACTTATAATCGAGAGTGAGTATTCGAGGGTTTTCAAAATCGCCAGCAACGAATCGGGAGTGAAAAATACAAAATTCTAAATGGCAGATACAATATGGCGATCTATCTCTAAATAATTTAGTGGGTTTTCGATTGATTTTTAGTATTGCATCCGCTATATTGAATTTGTTAATTTTGACTGCGAATTCTTAATTAACAACCCCAAATACCTTGGAGTAAGAGATTTCATCAAAATATATCCATGAGAAAAGTTCATGCTACAAAAGTTTAATTCCAAACGAAAACTGCTAGCAATAACTGAAATAAAGATCAAAGTCAGAGTAACACAAAAATAAGGCGTAAGGGGGTAAAAGAGCATGTATAATTTTTTATTTCCTGGTTTGAAGTAAAAATAAAAAATATCTATTTTCAGCTGTACGATATGGTCGCGTGCCAAAACGTTCGCGAGAAAGGAGCACGGAGGATGCGGTAGCCACTACGACCGGTGTTCAGCAATTAACATCGAACAGCAATTCGCAAGCTCAAAACACGGTACCACGAGTTCCTCCTGGTGTAGTCGAAGCCGATCAGTCGGACGCCGATGGTAAACATCAAGCTGTCTACGACGTCATTCTTTCCGTCTCTCAAGCACATCATGCGCATTGCGGGTTCACCAACGAGTTAACCAGGGGTCTCGTTCGAAAGCCTATGATTATGCCGGTCAGTTAACTTCACTTTTATTATTGATTCCATTTTACATTTGTTACTTTCACTTTTGAGCTTCGTCATTCTGACGTTTGTATATAATTATACAGATGATTGAACCGATGTAATAAAATGGATTATAGATACAAAGTATAATTTTGAAAAAAGAACAATAAAACAGTAAGTTACATATGTGCAAGTACATATGACGACTCTAGCACCAGATTTTAATTGAAAAATGAATTTTGATTATTTACTAAAATATTTTATTTGAATAGCATACAGATACTATTCGATCACTGTCTGAAAGTATATATAACGATATAAGATAAAAACATAGCAGACTAACGACCATGTAACATCAAGTACATTTGTTCAATGTTTGTATGACACCAATAAAAAGTTTGGTCACGGTGTTTCAATTATTTATATTAAAAAAAAAATGAAGCAACTAGAATAAAGGCAAAGTACGTAGTTTAGCTCAAAGTACACTAACACATTTCATACGTAGAAAGTTCAAGTTTCGTGTATGCTAAATATGCTCGCGTCGCATAGAAATTCCGCAGAAATTTAATATGCAAAACGTATTAGCATTACTCACCCGCAACTTTGCATTGATATTAATATAGTACGCCATAGAGAAGTCAAGCTCACTGTCAAACTAAAACATATAAAGGACCATAGGGATATAAGTTACGTACTTCGTTAATTGATTTTCTTATCTCAAATTGCTAGCCTGCAAGTCCCGAAGATCCTGAAGCAGCATCATCAACAGCTGAGACCGTTGAATCGCAGAAGATTTGGCTGTGGCAGCAATTTGCAGCGAGGGTAACTCCCTCAGTGCAGAGGGTGGTAGAATTTGCGAAGAGAGTACCCGGTTTTTGCGACCTTTCCCAGGACGATCAGCTGATCCTTATAAAAGTTGGATTCTTCGAGATCTGGCTAACACACATTTCCAAAATGACAACTGACACGTCGATGACTTTCGAGGACGGCACTTATATCACAAGACAGCAAATGGAGGTTATGTACGAGGTAAGTCACTCGAAGCGCCGTTACCGACGGTGATTACTTTAATTAACGTAACGCACTGTAGAAAGCTTATACACCACACAGTACGCACTGATTGTCTTATCAAAATTTTCACTGACTTTCTTCAACAGCCTGATTTTGTCTCTGCGATAATGCAATTCACCGCCTCGCTGAATGCTCATCAGCTGAGCGACACCGAGCTTGGATTGTTTTCCGGCGCTGTCCTCCTCGGCGAGCGTCCTGGACTGAACGACGTAAAAGCCGTGCAAACACTTCAAGACTGTCTTCTGGAAGCCCTAAGAATTCAAGCTGCCCGTAGTCACTCGTCCTCTGGAGACGCTGCTGCAGTCGGTAGTTGTTCAGGCGTGGCTACTGTCTCACAAAGGATACCTGAACTGCGCGCTCTTGGGGCAAGACACGTCAATCTCCTTGATTGGTTTAGAAGAAACTGGACGAAGCTCAAGCTACCCCCACTCTTCGCTGAGATCTTCGACATTCCCAAATGCGAGGAAGACCTGCAATGAAGAACAAGTACCTATTCTTATTGTCTGCCGGCGACTGCACGACTGCAGTCAAAATCGTCATACTGTTTTTTTATATCTTTATTCTACTCGATCGAGACTCGCTGCGGAAAGGACCCCGGGAAGGACAGTGAAACAAGAAGAAACATAACCATCCTTCTCGTCGTAACGTGAGAATAACGACTCGTTGTGAGATTAATTTCGTAAGTAGAATCACATACTAACCTATGTTCTCTAAATCGTTCGTTTGCTCAATGAAGAATTGGACGCTGCTAAGGGAATTGTCTATCGTAAAATATATTCTCGGAATACATATATTCATAATTGACCGTCGTATCACGAGATCCTTCCAAGGGAATCCTTGAGCTCATTGAAGATTATCCGCTGTACAATGTGTTTTTCTTAAATCTGAAAAATGATCGGCGAGGATCGATCGCCGTTTTTGTTTATCGACGAAGTACAAGTGAATTATCGTAAACGGGCTATAGAATGGAATGTAGGACAACGCAAACAAGACAAGTGATTAAATAAATCTTTAAGAACGTGATGAGGCGCCGATATGCTTCTTGTGGATTCTAAATGAAATTAAACTAAAACGACTATCGACGCAATACTTTTTTTTTTTTTTAATACCTTCGCGAAGACACTCGATCGCTTCTGAATGCGAATTGAATGACGATATTAAAATTTTGCTCAAACTGGTTGCTATCGATTCTCGCCGAACTATGTACGAGAGATCTATCGATCATGTATCCTTTGACACGTTCGAAGGTCTGAAGCAATATATGTCTTTTTATTATCAAACTGTATTAAATACTCAGCAACGGTATGGTTTTCGTAACTGTGTACCAACGAAATCGATCCTCGTTTAATCGATTGGGACACGCACAAAGTCACAAACTCAAAGCTCACAACTAGACGCTTCATCGTCACTCTAAACAGTCCAGCTGTCCTACTGATGTTTCAATGAAGTGTGTATGACATTAGAGAAATCTTAAAGTAACACGTGGCGCGATAGGTAAACGAATAAGAAAACTGATAAGTACCGTAAAGAAGGATATATATATAACTATAAAGAAACAAAAATGTTATATATATATATATGGTATACATATATATAACTTATATGTATATCAACACATACGCCTTAAGACTTAAGAAATTCTTTTAGAGCGTACCTCCTTAGACGCATGCGATATGAATCTCGATCTATGCAATCTATTTTTATTACTCGACATAGAATAGCGAATTACATTAGAATTCACTGCCTTTACGCAGGGTTTCACGTGGAATCGAGTTGGATCTTCTCAATGCCACTTTGTCCATGGTTCATCGTGTTTATGTATTTTCATCGAAAATTTAATTCATCAATTGACATATCGCTCGTTGAGCCAGACGCGCTTGTCAGGAAGTTGTGATCGATCATTCGTCATTAGAAATCTTAAAATCCAAGTGATATTCTTAGTATTACCGTAACGTGTACTTTTGATGCCACTGTTAAGGTCAGAGTGACGTATTGACACCCGAGCTTGAGGTTATGTACGGTTTATGGATTAATGCTTTTTACAACCTCTCATGGCATAACTTGTCGGTTAATCGAAATTATTATATGATAAAATATGACAGGTAGGAAAATTGAAATGGAAAAATTTTTGTTGAATTTTGTGGTAAATCAATATCAGTGTCTAAATGCGATTCCAATAAAATCCTGAAGTAAGCGCAGCCATCTATTAAAGCTCTGAACTCTAACGACTAATAACTCTCTGACAATGACTAGATTAATTAATGCGTAATAATTACTATTCACCATGAAATTATCATTACTCGTAGAGTGAAAATTAATGTTAACTAGCATTGTAATTACTTATTAGCGATGGTACCATTTATTATCTTCACGATATAAAACATTTCAATTTTAAGCGCTCACATCAAGTTGTGAATAAACATATCATACCTAACTAATATATTGAAGAAAAAAGATATTACATTTTATTATAATATATTCGTTATTGAGAAAAATCGTTGATCCGAACTGGTGGAAGAGATTGTGAAATGTTAGCTCATTTTATATTCCGCCAGTATAAGATTTGTGCGTCAAGTAACTCAAATTTGATGAATTAGCGGGAACATTATTACGTGGGTTTCGTAGACATTGTGAAAAGAGTAAAAAAAAAATAATAAAAAATAAAAAATTGTATCTTCTTTCAAAATCTCTAGTCTTGACGTTTCTTTGAGTTATCGCGTTATTCGATTGTTCGTGAATCTTAAGTAAAATTAACAAAACGGCCAAATATATTTAAATATCGTAAACGAAAAAGAAAAAAAGAAAATAAAGAAAAAGAACTCTTTAACGCTTAGCCCTTTTTGCAATCTATCGTTTCTCGTTCGTTTCAATTGGGAATTTTGGACATGGTGCTATATCTATGTGTAAAGAGACACGCCGGGAATTGTTGAATACTTATTATATACGTAATGGATACTTACGTTAGAAAATGCGATATAGACGGGTGAATAAAATAAGTATCCGTGCTCGTACCCTTTCCCGGCAGATGAACTTGTAATTTATTATTTCCGTTTAATATTAATTACACACGTAGATTACAAATAAGTTAACGTTCACTGCGTATGGTATAAATACTATGTAATTTATAAACGAGATGATTTAAAAGTTAACAGCTGAAAAGCCAAGCGGGGAATTGTTTTTTAAATATATATTACAAAACGACTGCTCTATACTGCTAAAGTACAAATGTTTCATTTAATTACTTTATAAATGATCGATTCGTTAGTGGTTAGTTATACAGTTGTCGTATATATTTATTTGTAATTTTATAGTGTTAACGCTATGCAGCGCACAGAATAATTGCTCATAGCACTTTGCTTCGGACATTCTGTACTTAATTAATATTGTTCTTTTTTGTTTTTACTTTTCATCCCTTCCCCTCAATACAGTCTGATATCCGTTTTCTTATTGACAACGCGTTCCCCGTTAATCTGCAAAATTTTAATATATTTCTTTATTAAAAAGCAACTTTTAAGGCGACAATAATTAATGTTTTCTTGTTCATACTTTTGTTTTTCATAATCTGTAAATATTTTCATTGTTTCACGTTTAGATATGTTTTTTGTTTGTCTCTTTCACCGTCGTACCGAATCATTTTTTTATATTTTTTTATTAGCTATAAAGTACCGAATTTTTGTTCAGATATTAAATGTAGTCTTTCTGATTTTGAATTTTCTGAAAAAAAAAAAATGTATCGATGACGATGCACGATTTATTCAATTTTTTGACTCCTGCATAAATTCTATAAGAATACTTTATTTGCTATATATTTTCGTAATTAAGAACTATAACTGAAAATGGTTATGCAATTTATTTTTTGTATGGCTGGAAAGTAAATTGAACTGTGCAGCTGAAAAGCCGATTTGGTTACTTAAATATGATAGAAAATTTGTAGTCGAATGTACTTTTGCCACGAGCCTAATCGTTATTCTGTGTATTGCAATTTCACGATGACTGGTTAAGAAATGAAGGTATAATTTATTTTGTGAGTTTCGCAATAAGAAATTTTATATTGTTAAAAAAAAAAGCGGAGAACGAATTACACAATAATTTTGTAATTATTTGATGAAAAAAAATGGAATATCTCATTACGCCTTTGTTTTGCAATTTTCGCGCACGAGACTCGTGCAAGCAGAGATTTTAAAGTGCAGAAACAAGTGTGCACTACGTTATTGATTTTAATAACTTGTTTTGCATTTGACCAATTCAGAATTTTCTTTAACAAATTTATTTATCGACAACCCTCAATTCCCTTGACACGTTGACTGTCACTCGTGCGAATTGGTATTCTCCAATGTTCTTAACACCTGTATTAAAGAATTAGATCAAAGTTTGAAATACTAGTTGCTTACGTATGAGAAATAGAAATTCAGAACGATTCCTCCCTAAGGTATCCCAGAGGAGGTGGTAATAAAAATTTCAATAAAAAATAGTAACGAAACTGTCAATGTTAAATTAAAACGATTTCGTTAAGCATCACTTACAATTCCAACGAATCTCCAATAAGCATATTAAATTGAAAGAAAAAAAAATTTCAATAAAAAATAGTCAATTATTAATTTCAAATTTAATGTACATACGTATTTTATGAATATGAAATACCTTGGATCAATTATCGATAAAATATTGTGGCCTCCATCATTTATTAGAGACAGCACGAGACAATAATTTATTTGATACTTTCGAACAATATTAAAAAACAATAGTTAACATTATCATTGAAAATAAAGTGAAATTTAATTGTAATTATCAGCGTAATAATTATTAGCTTAAGGTTGGTTTCAGGATACGCTTTCAACTTGTTTTACATTCATGTATACATATATTGTGACGTGATTTTTCGACTTACGGTCACAAGGCGACTCCAGCTACCGATTCAGATAACGCTCTCACTTTCTGATTCCCTTCGAGTCGCCACTCTGTTCAGAAGCTACGCTCTCGGGTTGGTTCGTGCAGTTACGCCGATGCTCTTGGAAATATTTGTTATTCTTCAGTTGTGGTCGAGGTGATCGAATCTGCCGTGGAGAGATAGTCTCGAGGTACCGAGTTGCCCGGCAGAGGAGACGACCCGACGGAGACGTCTCCACGGACCGGCGGAGGTCCGGGTGAGATACCGGCGCCCCGCTGGTGATAAGCAAAGGGCTGTAGGGCGGGCGGAGGTACAGTTTTGTTACGGTTAAGGGCAGGGGAGGAACACCCTGACCCGAGTTAAGGACGCGGTGCCCGGCTGTCGCCCGATGCCCTGGGAAAGAGGCCGTGGAGGATCTCCAAAAGAGTTACGTACCGATTCGCTAAGGAACGCTCTCGATTTAGTTTGAATGGACGACTCGAGGGAAAGGATAAGAGTTATCGGCTATTAGGATCTCGACCAATCAGAATGATTTTCTTTATGAAGAAGTTGACGAATTTGACTGTTGTCAAAACAGTCTGTCTTGGGACACCGATCGGGATGCCTCGAGTTGCCTCGCGTTTCCGGGCTGTTTGTTGATAGTTTTTCTAGCTGTGTTTTTCATCCGGTATAAAAAGTTCTCGCGTTGCTCTCGCTGTATTCAAAAAATCCTATCGATTTTCTGCGTGTGTTTCGGAGGTGCAGTGCTGTGCTATAGTGCAGTGCCCATCTGAGTTTCCCCTGGATGCAGTTTTCGGCCTTGACGGATCAGCTGAACCAGCTCCGGTGAGGACTCCCAATTTATTAATCGGTGGAGGGATTTCGATTTCATAGCTCCGATTCGGTCTGCTACGTTCTCGATCAGTTGCTCTTTGTTTCTGGCACTATTTACCTGACGCTTACTCCGACCCTCTCTACCTCAACCGAGCAGCCTGAGCGCCCGCGCATTTCCGTAATCGTTCACTCTAGTTCGTGCATCCGGTCGCGGTTGCTGATTTTACACGACCCAAAGATCAGCACCTACAGTTGCGTTTCTCAATTTCGTCCTCAAAAATCGACAGGATCTGTTAAGCTATCGTCTCTTCTAATAGGTTCCGTTAGAGCTCTCGTTCTGGCGTAGTTCAGACTCTTCCGTTTCAACTCCCAAGTCATACCGGCTTCTCGGTTCCCGGTGAAAAAAGAATTGGCTGGCGCCCGCCTGATATGCGGGTGCATGGACTGAGGGTAGACGGTCGAAGGTGACGTAGATTAGGCCTTGGATTTTCGCTATAGGTGTCGAGTTAAGAAAACACGTTACAATATACATATATATATATACATATATATATATATATATATATACACACATATATCCATGATAAACAATCATGTTTCGTTTTCTTATCACGTATATAATTAGCATTCGAATAATATTTCATACGTTATTCCTTTTGCTGGAAAATAAAAAGCTCACTGAAACATTTTCCATGTTATTTGTAGAAATAAAATCCTTTTTCTTCAGTGAAAACAAACTGAGCGGCAAAATGAGTATGGAGAAATAGGTCTGATGCTGTCTTTATATAAAAGCGGTCACAATATTGATTATCCATATAAAACCGAGCAGGCTATTAGGCACGGGTGTACAAAAAAAAAATGGTATTAGATGGACCTGACAGCTCTTTTCCGTCGTTGGTATTTGCAATTGACTCGACTACCTTTAATTTCCTTTTGTAAATGACCTCTTGATACTTTTCAGGTAATTTGTGTGTTCGCAAAGTATAGCAAAAAAGTGTTCTATGAAAAGTATCAGACTGCGCATCTAATATTTATTTATTCGATTTTTATATAGTGGATGATCTGCTGCGTCCTTCTCGGTAGATATTTCAAAGCTATAAGAATGGTAAACTATTTTATTACAGGTTTACTATTTCACAAGTACACTTAAAGCTTATACACGTTTGAGAACATACGTAAAAAGTGTCTTTTTTTTTAACCGAGTCACTGAGTATATTTTTACGTGACTCGCACAGCATTGTCACTTTGTGTTCGCTGAGTGTTGTTATTGTTTAACAAAAAGTTAAATTGCGTATGCTATATGTTTGAATAGAAATTTGAAACAAAGCCCACGTGTAATCCATTAGGTGTTTTATGATTTTTCATGCATTTGATCAGATCACCTTATTCGTGAATTAAAAGTATATTATGTTGATATTTTCTTAATTATTGTTTTATTGAATTTATCCATTTTATAAGCTACTATTTAGTTGAATATCTAGTGGTTTGAAATATATTAATTTTTAATGCTCACGGACTATTCGTTTTTTTTTTGGCGACAAAACAGCTGTTTTCGAAATACGAGTTTAATGATTTAAAGGACGGCAATAGTAGATTAAACAAATTTTTTTGTTTTTTTTTTTGTTTTAAATATGGTCTTTTTTATTATTAATTTTACATTTTTTTTTTCTTCACAATTGTTATCTCAACCAAATGGTATTTCATGATTTGTGTTTATTGTTGTGATATTGTAATGATTTAACCATATTGTCAATTAAGTTTTATTACGTTAGACCCGAACAGAATGTCTTGCGACATTTAGCTGGTTTTCATCCAATTTGCTAACTTAATTCATGTACATTGACTCGTCCGATTGAGTGATTATCGTAATAATATTTTATTGTGATTTGGTGAATTTAACTTAAACTGGATCACTGTTGCTACTGTCAAAATACGTGGCTACATTATTAAATGATTGGGCCGATATTCATACTTTCAAATTGGAATGTAGATATAGTATAAATCTGTTTCGTGCATTAATTATCGATCTTTAAATTATTAAACTTTTATTTTTACGAATTTACGAATTCTTGAATTATTTTGGGCAGTCAAGATCACTGCACGGCTGTTTTAGCCACTTTCGTAGAAGCAGGGAAATTTTATTTTGTTTTATTTAAATTCTCTTTTCAAAAATATTCCTCGTTATTTCACATCTGATCATGTAATAATAAATTGCAAAAACATTTTTAAACTGAACTTTGTTTTAACGCAGAATAAAGTACATATTGTATTTAGAATCGAGTAAAAATTATGCAGTCATTGTACAGTCAGTTGCAAAGTATCCGTTTTCTTTTTTGGCAGTTTCATTAGAATCACTCATTTAATTTCGAATTAAATTTTTTTTTAATTTACCCTGTAACTTTTTGATTTCAAGGCTGCGGTTGTACGTAACCTATCACTTCTCAATTTCGGTCGATGACATTTCACGAATTAGCCATGCAAATTGTTCGTAATTGTAGGTGATTGAAATTAAATTTACGTATAGTGTTTTTTTTTTAAAGAACATTTACATTGACTTCAATTTACACCACAGTATGCAAAAAAATTTTAAACAAATAATTTTTAAATACCATTTCGTACAACATCCGTTCCTCTTAAAGTGAAATAACTTTTATTCCAACAATTGTTACATAGAACACAAAACTAAAAAATTTGTACTTTGTACTTGTTCGACGCGCTTCTCCTCCTTTATCCGTAGCATAACCTTTCCAACTCTTTGGTATGAGATATGCATCCGTTCTTTAATAATAATAATGCTATTATTTCAAATTAAATATATAAATCATTTTGAAAGAGCAGTGCAAACGCATGTGAAAAAAAAATAATTTACTTTTGTTGCATTTCTTACTACCATATTAGCTGACAGTACTATAAGTGCGTTTCACTTGCCAGTAGCAAAATTTTCAAAAATTGCAAAATAATTATTATGCACCTTGTTGTATGCATACAAGTAGTATCATTGACATAATGACGAAACGACAAGAAAGTTTTATTCAATCATCTTTTGAGAGTAAAAATAATTTTCTTTCTGATACAGATAAATGAAAACAATTTACACAGAAATTCCAACAGTAGAAATCAATAATAATATCAAGAATATATATGAAAATTGATAATATCAGCTTTTTTAAATCAAATAAGATATTAAGTTGTGAAAAATCAGGTTTTGATTCACAATGCATACAAGAACTCGGTACAGGTTAGAGGCTTACCAATATTTGCCCCCTACGGAGGTATTTTGATTTCACGTATGATTCATAATGTTTAATTAATATTGCGGATTCGCTATTCACAAGATTCATTGTCACCGATATTACTTGTACGTAAATACGTAGCCGTACGCGAACGTAGAAATAAGATATTGTTACATGCTAAACTTTATTAATACCGATTGCCATTGCTTTAAGACGTTATTATGAAATTTCGCAGAAGATATTATTTTTAAAAACAAATCACAAAGTACTTGGTGCCAATTACAACTAATGTTTAAAACTACATTTAAATGGAAACGAGCCGAGAGATGGCGAAGTCGGCGATCCGCTGTAAGCGTTTCAAGCAGACTAGCTAAGATTAAGCAATGTTCGATCCTTCGTAGGATTACAAAATCCGAACGGGAAGAGAACGAAGAACAAAAAATGTAGTAATAATATCGTTGCCTCCGAGAGGATTGTGTAGTGCGGCAATAAGAGAAAAGAGAAGAAACATTTTTTCAAATTAGAAACGTACACTTTTAAGGCCTTCAGACAACACGCAAGGCCCTTTGTTGGGTCGTTTACGTTTTTGTGAGTGTGAGAGAGAGAAAGAGAGACAAAGAGTGGGGTCAGGGGGGTTGTGACAAATGACAATTAAAAGAGAAAGAAAATGGCTGCGCATTGATTTTGTTTAATTTTATTGAAATCCGTTTGATAAGGTTAGGAAATTACTTAAGTTTGTACATTTTTAAAATTATTGTTCCGTTTATATTGAATAGTGATAAGAATGTTGTGTTATACGTCAAAAGGTTGTGTTCCTTTTGACGACGTAAGTCGTACAGAAATTTTTCTTTTCTTTCTTTTAACGAAACCCCGTGGAACGCGTTTCCTTCATTCTCTTCGACGAAAGCCACGAGTCGAGTTAGAACAATCGATTTCTTTGGCTTTCCTATTTATATCATTTAACGCTATCGGCTACTGACCTTAGGACATACAATCAATTATAATTAATTAGTGAACCACGTTTGCATGTTGCTATATATGAATAAGGATGAAAAAACTCAAGATCGAATACGAAATAACTCAAGAGGATTAAAATAATATATACATCTTTTTTATTCTGCGTTATATATATTTAATTGTTATGAGTTTATGACGATAAGAACACTAAGCATATTTGTACTATTAAGTTTACTATATTTAAATAATATATTATATTCTCATGGTCTTTTTGCACTACCCCTCAAAATGTATCGTCCTTCTCGAGAAATGGTGTTGTACTTTTTCATATAAAAGGCATTGCCGAAATAAATATGGGGTTGGAAGAATTAATATTACATTTATTTGACTTGCTCGCCACGTTCATTTTTCTTATTAAATCTACAAAAAGAAAGAGGAAGTGTTACGGATATAAAAAATGACAACATTTTTATTTTCAGTCTAATAACTTGGCATAGTCTATCGAGCGAACAGTTTCGAGGTGGGTAATAGCATAACATGGTTTGTTTCTTCGACAAAGTTTATTATAAAATATATTAGAACTTAATTAAGTACATATCCAACTACATACGCAAATATTTTGATTAACAACTACCTTGCATGCAAGTTCAGCCTAACTAAATCAGTGGCGGCCCGTCGTAACGAGACGCAATGAGCGATAATTTCGTTTAAATTTTCAAACGAAAAGTACGAGACGCTTTCAATTTTCAATTGCGTGCCGTCGCTGCATTTGCAAATATGAACTACATCGAAAGTATTAAACTTTCTGTTATGTACATCACAACCATGACCGTAAATTAAATTCGGTGAGAACTGGATCTACCCATTGACGAAACGGCTATAATACTACGGTTAATCGCTTAGTTTTACAATTAAAACGCAAGTTGGAAACTCAGAACGATGATTCTACATACATATAGATAACATTATAAGACTACCTTTTCGTTGTAAACACTTATCTCTGATCGATTGATAACACATTTTGCTGACAACAGTGCTATACATTGTTTTCATTCTTCAGTTCGTTCTCATCTACTATCTCTGCTTTCTCATTTGCTCCAGTGAATGCGAAGGATCACTGCATTTGATTAATTTATATCGAGGTGTTTCAGTCTTACGTGAAAATTTCGTTAATTAAATTATAGTAATTGAGCATTACTTCTCAAAGCCGTCGGAATACTTGTCAAAACGTTACTCGAACTTTTAACGTAATCGACAAGAAGCCAGAACTTACTTTGAAGATTACCGCAATATAAAACACCAAACGTCAAAACGAGAGTCCTTAGGTTAAGTATATTATAAAGTACACATAAAAAAAATGCAACGTTTCTATAAGCTATTTATAAGCTATACTCTAATTATCAATAGTTAAATTCAAAACTGACCAAGGGCGTTTGATTCTCGGGTTTAGCAGAAACAAAAAAAAAACAAAGAACTGTTATCGAATGTCAATTCACTGCAGTCCTCTTTATAAAAGATGTCAGGCCTTTCATTGTAGACACGCTTCTTATTACGTATCTTTGCAAACAATGAAACCTCCATGAAAATCTACAACCTTCACGTCAAAGAAATAGGAACCAGCCTATAAACGCAGATACGAAATCATCGAGACATTGTTGAAAATAAATCTATAGCAATAATGGTAGCTAACAGTGCCCAACACAGTAGACCAGCCCACATAATGGGAAAAATTTTAAGGCATTTTTCCACAGACAAGAACTATGTTGAGATTTGTCTTTTTTTTATGTAGGCAGATTTAATAACATTAGCAGTCTCTAAAATAAGAGAATCCAGTATTGCTACTGTAAGCTCATTTTTAACGGTGAGTTCGTCACGATGAAATTTAGTCCATTCATCCTCCTCTGCCTGTGCTTCTCGAGCTAAAAGCTCATCGACTCTGTCCCTACGTTTTCTACTCCACCGCATCACCATATTCTCTCTTTGTAACTTTGTTTTAAAACCGAATAAGGTCGCCACTTCTTTATTAACGTACTCGTTCAATTCGTCCACAGTTTTCGGTATCTTTATTGTCACTTTTGTCTTTGCGTTAAGCTTCGACCAACTAGGTCCAGGCTTTTCATATTCTGATCTGTAAACCTCTGCGATTGTCTCCTTGCAAAGATCGAACAGGAATGCATTGTAGATCTTTCTATCTTTCTTTGCGGTCTCATTATCTTCTTTACTCAGCTCAAATATCTCTGTCGCTGCTTCTAGATTCATTATATCCTGACCTGATTGTTTTGCTTTAAATATTATTGCTGTAGCCTTCTCAGTGATAGCAGTGAGTTCTTCTATGTTTGTTGGAACAACAGCAGGTGGTGAAGGGGATACTTGTAATGTTGGTGACCTTCCGCCACCTGGAGGTGTATAAGGAGGTGGTGGTTTATTCGGTATCTCCCTTACATAGTATGATACCTCTTCTGCTTCTAATTTCTTAATCTGTTGAAAAGAAATAAGAGAATACTTTCATTACAACTAGAATTGTATTGTATTGATTTTTATGAAATATTGATTTTTATAAAGAACAAATATATATCACATGAAAAATTTGACATTTTTTTTTACAAAGCAGCTCCATTTTTAATGACCCAAATGCAAATAGTCACAGAGTGTATTTCAGTACATGCGCAAAAATGGGGACTATATCGAACAACTTAACAAAGTATTACTCAACAGTAAACTTCAAAATGATGATGCACTAGCAAGATACACAATTGTCACAAAAAAGTTGCAGTTTTTTATGATAAATTTTTTAACGTGAAATAGACTAAAAGACAATAGAAGGATATTTTGTTAGTAAAACTATTTAAATTAAAAATGTATACTCAACGAATCTACTGTTTGATTAAAATTAACTCATACATGTAAATACTTAATACGCTTTCTTATATATTTACCTCAAGCTCGATTTGAAGTTGTTCTATTCGAAGTAGCTTTGCCTCTAGTTCCGCTACATCTAATCCAGGTTGTTCTAGAGATGCTGTGACAAGAAATAAAACACTTATTAGACAATGTGAATGAATAAAAAAATGACAATACCAGTTAAAGGAATATCACTGACTAAATTAAAATAATTATATGAGCAAGATAAAAAAAAATATATATATATATAACACAGGATGTATAATATACTTTTTCGGGTTTTTTCAACCTAAAAATACATGTGTTGCGTCCGCAATCATTATCAATGACTGTGATTTATCAATTTCTTGTTTTATATAGGTCTACAATAAGAGGTATTAGATATATTCTATTTCATTCAATAAAGATAATTAAACGATAATATTATAATTATACATAATTTTATCTACATACAATCATTATATCACTGTAATCCACGTTATACGTCAAGCATATAATAAAAGTGAGATGCAATTTTTGTCATTGAGCCAGATATGAAAAATACGGTGAAGGGTTGTTTATATATATTCAAAAAGTTAATGATAAGAAAAAATAATTCCAATCAGTTCACATACAAGTATATAAAGACTGAAAGGAAATTCATTTACTACATTTCATTTATAATCTGATCAACGTTTATAGTCTCAATAAACCGTTTCAATACCGTTCCGAGAATATATTCTTTATGTTCCATTAATTTAAAACGTGCCCAGCATCCGTGTTAATAGTGAAATTCAATGAATAATTAATTATTAGAATATAAATTTGTATAACTATAAATTAACAATCGTGATGTTTAAAGAAGTATAACAAATATACATATATTAAAATATATTTGTAACGTCTAATATTATAAAAAAACATTGAGTTTAACATTAATAACAAATAATCCTTGAACACGTTTTTTGAAAACTGAATAAATTAAAAATTATTGACAACACTGAAATATGAAAATCTTCAATATTTTGAATCCAATGTTAATTTTTTTCATGAAGTTGATTCGTTTATAATAAACTGTCGAAATCATTCCTTCGTTTCTCCATTGTTCTTTATATCAATGCAATTTAAGTAATTTCAAATCACACAAAAAGCCCTTTGGCAGTTAAAGTGGAAGTCAGATTATATATTAATTGCAATAGCTTTCAATTACCTTATAATCTACAGTACTTTTATGAAAGAATTCCCCTATATTACACATGAAGTTTCTCAAAGTTATAATGCAACAATGTACAAGGAGTTGATAAAGACACAAGAACATACTTCACATTCATGCGACACACATCCAGCAAGCACTAAGTGAATCTTCACGTCACTTTAAGTATAGAATATTACCTTTACGGTAAATATTGTCTCGATTTTGCTATTCTGAAAATAAACAACATATGGCTGTACCACATAATATTTAGCGCAATATGACACGATCGCAGCGCAATTTATTTATTTCAAATTATAACTCTATCGCGTGTTTCGAATAGTCAGCGACACAATCTACTAATAAAGTAGGTCAAAAAATTAGCATTAAAAAAAACCTGCTTTAAATAAATTCTTTAAATTGTCGATCATAATTATGCAAACAGTGCACGCGTTCTCGTATCAGAAAATGTTTCTAGTATTATATACATTTGAAATTTTTTTTTAATTTCAGAGCAAAGGTTGTACAAGGATATTTTTTCAATATCAACTGCTTCTTGTTTCAAAATGATAGAAGCACGAAAAAATTAATTCATTTTCTAGTTAACTTCCTACCAAACTTTTATTTTTTGCAAAAAAATAGGAAATGAACACATACGCACACACGTGCCATATATGTATGTTGTCTGCTTAAACCTAAGATTATGAATACTCATCAGATTTAAGGAGAAAAATCTTAATTAGCGTATTCATTTCTGACGTTGTTATAACAGCACTTAATTTCTAATCATTTTTCTGGTTATCCTACAGAATTGTTCAGATAGAAAAATGTAACAATGAAAAATCATGCGTTACAATGAAGTTGCAGATATCAGTCAATTACTGGCAAAACTGTACATGAAAATAAGAAGCGTTAAGATATTTTTAATCGGTTTTGACGTTGTAAATCATCGTAACAAAAGGACTTTGAGCGAAATTTAAAATAATAAAACTAATCAGATAACAAAATGTTTGTTTATCAATTACAATATTTCTAATACATTTTGCAACTGTTGCATACATTTTCTGTTGCAAAGTGAAATCAGCTCTCTCCAAATTACAAATAAATTATATGACTTATTGCTTTCTTCGATGGATAAAACCGGAACAATGCTATTGTCTATGAATTCTTATGTTTATAATCATGAAGAGAGTAATTGTCACATTATATAGAGTGTAACGAACCAGCCATTGAACGATTAAGATGCATTTTCTCCTATAAGCATATGATTAAGCGCTGTTACTGTTTATAGTCGTCGATGGGACTCCATTTGAAAGCTTGGTGTTGCAGGAATTAAAAAAAAGGTTGTATGAGGCTTAAGAATTATTAATAGCCTACATTGTTGCAGATTCATGAAAATTCCAAAATAAATTAATTTTACCTATAATTTTCACCTAATTCAACATAAAACCACATTTACAAGATCTACGATCACTTATATTGCACTTGTGTAAAAACCAGTTGAAAAATTGCTGAGACACTCAAGATAATCAATGTGATCAAGTTTGTAAGAACTGTCAAATAGTAAATAATTTCAGATAAAAATGCCACACTAGTTATTCTAAAATTCGTAACTTTCATGAATCCGTATAGTCCTAAAGCCACTGGGAGTCATCGGACTTAATAAACAGGTATTTCACACGAATATTTTGTTTTTGCAATATTGTAGCCAATCGCTGAACACGGTACCTGATTCATTAATATAATAATACGTCAACAAAAGTAAATATCATCAACGTCAAATTCATATGTATTATTTGCGTGCAATTCCAGTAACTGATAGCGATAAGAAAATATAAGAAGCATGATAATTCGGAAGCGAATACCTTTCAATTTGTTGATCATAGCTTCGATGTCCTTTTCGGACGTTGTAACGATTGGAGCAACGTGTAACTCAGCTTTAGTATCTGCGTTCGTATTGACCAAATCATTTCCCAGCAAATCATCATCCAGAGCATCAACGTCCAATCTTGATTCATTTAGATTTCTTGGTGAATCCATTTCAATCTCAGACACTCCTCTTGGAGTGTCAACTCCTTCACTCGATTCAGACGATGCATCGACATCGCGTCTCGGTGATACATTTTCAAGTTTTTCAGAAAGTTCCTGAGACTTTAATGGGACTTCGGACTCTTGAACGGGTAAATCGGTTAACTTGGTAGGACGGATCTGTGAATCCTCGGCATCGCTTAATTTTATTACTGGCACAGAATCTGAAACTACTCTGTTTACTTTGAAATCTTTCGAAAATGAATCCTTTTTCGACTTTTCTAAAAGAACGTCACCTCGATTCGATGCACCTTCAAATTCTGGCGTTATGCTCTCGAAAACGTGTATGACTACGTCTACGTTCTCAAGATGTTCTTGAGGCTTTTGTAATAGTTCTGTAGAACTTGCTACCGATTTTTGTGATATTTCATCCAATATCCGTAGAACTTCATCTGACTTTTGAGTTACTTCGTACTTCTCTGGTATTGTTTCACTCTTTTGCGATCCAATTGACGACTTTTGAGACTCGGACCTATCTAAAATTTCAGAGACTTCAAGACTCTCTTCTGAAATATCTTCGTACTCTGGATCTTTTATTATTTCAAATGTTTTGCCGGCATTCTCACTATAGGTAAGTTTTTGTAACTCTGATGCAGAATCATGTTGTGCGGTTTCAACAATTTTATGCATATCTTTGGTGAAAGAAATTGTTTCCTCCTTCTTTACTTGCTCTCCAATAACTTCATTCTGCAACTCATTTGACGTTATTGACTTTAAAGGAGATAACTGTTCAAACTCGGATTTCATCAAGTTTGAATCACCAGGTAGAGCAATCTTCTTGATAACGTCCAATTTATCTTCGATCGTTTCAATCAAGTTATCTAGTTGTTCATTCGAATTCTTCAGTTGATTGCACGTCGGCGACTCACTTTGTTCTTCCGTTACAACTATAGCTTCGTCCCTTTCAGCTTGGTCAACCGATCTTTCTTCATTTTCTTCCAAAATATTTTCCAGGATTAAACCCGAAGTATAAGGCAATTCTTCTGTGTCGGGTAATTCTATCTTTGCATCAATCTCTAATTCAGGTAACTCTTCACTTTCCAAAGTCCCTGGTTCCAGTTCTTCAATCACTATGTCATGTGATTTGTATGATTTTTGTTGTGTTCCATCGCTATCCTGGATCTCTACAGATAAGGATATACTTATCAGAGGCAAGGATGAAGCATGTTTAAGAACATCAGAGTTTGTCGAGACATCCCATTGTTCTTCCTTTTCTATTTTCAAATTCTGTAAAGCACTCTCAGTATTAATTTCCGAAGTTTCTCTATTTTTCAAAATATTATTTTGCAAATCTTCTTCATGCGGTTTCTGCAATACGCTATCACTCTCACTAATATTTTCTTTGACTCTTGTTGCATCTTCTAAATTTTCAGAACTTTGAACTTTCTTGGTACACATATTATCTTTTTCATATTTAAGATTTTTCTCTACTTCACTTTCAACCTTATTAAGAATCCTAGTTACGGAAAGTGGAATATCATCCAAACTTTCCTTATTTTCAACATCCTTAGTATCTTCTTTATGGCTCTCTTCCTGAGCAATTAGACTTAACGCGTGATGAAGTTCATTCGCATCCTTGGACACATCTTTCTTGATATTCCACTCGTCCAAATTAATATCCAGATCTTCAATCTTAGTGGATTCGTATTTTGGCAAAAGTACAGACTCGTCGATATTATCAGTTAAGGTTTCACTATCCGCATAATACGAAGAATAGTCAGCATTCTTATCCAAGAAAATCCCTTTTGACGTCGATTTGTCAATTCCAGTATTTTCCAAAGTTACGTTTAACTGCGACAACTCTGATTTCTCACAATCATATTCTGTTGGTACATCAATGATTTGCTGAATTTCAAAAGAATCAGAAGTAGTCCAATCTTGATCCATAGGTGATTTAATGATCGAAGCGTCCCTTGATTTTACATAAACCTCATCAAACTCGTTCGATTGCTTACTAGAAATGCTATCCTCATCATCGTAATTAAGTTTTGTATTGAACTCTAATGAATCATCTGGATTTTTCTCACATTGTTCATATCCTATTGCGTCATGTTCTGTGACAAGCAATGACTTTTCGGCAGTTGCCAAGTTTAACTCATTAGGATTCTGCGACGTTTTAATTAAATTGATATCTTCTTGTTCTTCTTCAATTGTCTTTTCGCTTTTCACTCCTTGCGAATATTCACTTGAGTCTTGTACTGCTTCAGTCACTTCTTGAACAACTTTACCTAGTTCATCTTCTTTCAGAGATTTTGGAGATAGAGACAAAGGTACCTCGCTACCAACTTTCGCTGAGCCATGATGCAAAACTTCAGAGTAATCAGCTTTTAAGAATTCATCTTCGTTTGATACAATATAAGAATGAGTAGCAGAATCTCCAGCGCCCTTATGTGAATATATTGTAACAGATTCTTCAGGTATTTCGGATATAAATTTCTCGGTGCCGCGTATCAAATTATCGCCTGGTGCAGGTTCAGATATTGGAGTAGAATCTTTAATACATGTTGTACACGGTTGATCGTTTCTATTATCGATATCGAATTTGTGTGCTTTTTTATTTAAATCTTCCACTACGGCATCTGTAGCATTATATTTCTTATATGCGACACCGGATTTACCTTCGTCAGTATCTGAAACGCTTCTTCCAGCTTCCTCGATATTACTCTTGACTTCAGTTATTTCCGAAATTGTACTGAAAGTTGATTTAACAGAATCTTTCAAAGACTCTGCTGCATTCGACAAATCAATGTTTTCATCTTGCGACTGATACACGTTGGTTTCTAAGATTGGCAAAATGCTTGTAACATTTAATTCATTATCAGAAGATTTAATATGCTCGGATATTATAGATTTTTCAATTTCGTTTAATATCTGTTTACTTCTCGCTTCAAAGTCAAATTCATTTTCTGCGTCAGGCACCAAATTGTTTTCTGCGTTATCTTTTTTAAATACGTCTTCTGTTACTTTTGATATCAAATCGCTGTGAATCGTTGGTTCAATGTGCGTCTTATCTTTCGTGTTAATGTCTGAAAATATTTCTTTGGAAACTGAATCTGACCTTTGTGAAATCGGTTGATCAACCATGTCTATGATACTTTCTGATTTTTTCACGGTATCATATGAATCGAGTTTTAGCGATACTTCGGACACATCTTTCGATGTATTTTTCTCTGTGTCTTCAGCCGTGGTAATTACAGGATCTGCAGATTTCAAGCTAGCCCCACTTTTTACTTTCTCGTCTGACGTTTTACTAAATCGTGACATCATCTCTGAAAGTGCTTTAAGATCATTTTCAAGAGTACTTATATCGTCATTCAAATTCTTGTTGTTCAACTCCAGAATGTTTAATTTGTGGGAAACTGTCTGCATATCGTTACTTGGTTCGTCGGGCTTGACGATGTCATCGACGACAGAACTTATTTTGCTGCTGTAGGCTATTTTCGAAATTTCTTTTCCAAAACTCGGATGTTCCGTTTGACTCGCTGGAACTTCTTCTACACCACTTTGTGAAGAAATACTTTTTGAACTAAGTTCATCGACTAACGTAGCTATGTCTAACATTTGTTGGGTTCTTGCTTCTAACTGATATCCACCTTCTTCGGAGTTTGATGTGATTTGAAGTTGATCAGATTTAGAAGGAACCACTGCAGTATCATTAGAGTTGTTCTGTGCAGTGTTATTTACAGAAATTGTTTGCGGCCGGCTTGAATTTTGTATTGGTATTCCAATTTGACTATAAACACTTTCCAATGCATTGTTTTGAGAAGAATCCGGCACTGTACATGGCGTTCGTCTCGAATCATATCTTGAACTCTGTCCACTGAACCAAGAATTAGTTTTTGCGGATACCTCTTCAAAATCAGATGGTGCTCCAGAACAAGAATTAAAATTTTCAACTGCATCAGATCGTGCCGTTTGCGTAGATTTATATTTTTCACATTCAACTGGTTCCGGGGCACGTTTACAGCTGTTTATGATAGAATTATTTTCGGACGTCGCTGACGCACGAGTGTTCACTTCTTCAAAGAGGGATTGGTTGCTATGGCTCGTATCTTTTTTCTCAGAGTTTGAAGCTTCCGACACAATTATATTTCTGTTGTCGAGAGACCTGGTAGATTTTTGAGAACCACTTTCCTCTCTTTTCTCATCGTATTCCGCAGAATAACTATTTTTTCGTGTTTTTTCGCGGCCTTCTTCAGAAAGTAAATCGGATTCCGATCTAGAGCGTAACAGATCGCTACTCCTGTAAATTTCTTGTATCCTCTTGGTGGAAATTTTTGGAACTTTAAAATCGGCCAGCGACATCGACTCAATTGCAAGTTTTTCAGAATTATTGTCCTTAACAGCTTCTTTCTTCGTTTCCAATTTTTTTCGCATTTCATGGATCGTTGTGTCATACTTCTATATAATGAAGGAGAAAGAGAAGGATACAAAATTACATAATTATGAAATAACGAAGCTTCCTTAAAAACTAATTTAATAGCTCATTAACTGTACCTTAATTTGATTAAGCAGGTTTGTTTCAAGAGCTCGAAGTCTCTGTTTAGCCTGTTTTCTGGCCTCCTTTTTAAGTCTGGCCATTTCCAGACGGCGTTCTGCCAAATTTTCTGTCAGCAGTTCCACTCTTCCTTCAACATCACTCGTGTCAGATGATACTGTAGTATCTGTGAAAAATAGTGTGCTCTCAAAGTAAATAAAGAACGTCCGCGAGAGAAAATAGTATGAAAAACGAAGGCAAGGGACGTAACAGATAATTTACCATGATAAGAGAGAGCGTTAGAAGTGGCACTAACAAGCTTGTACGCAGCTTCCTCCATGCGTGCTATGCGACTCTCTTCGGCACGAAGTCGTGCATGCCATGCGATCCACTTTTCCACGCAATTTCTTCGTGACGCAAGTGCGGTCTCTCGAGCGCCCAATATTCTAAAGAAAAATTATCCCTTCGTGTGAGCATTGTGGAATATCAAATCTTTACAGTATCGTTCAGCGCGTATCATAGGTAGATTTAATAAGAGCATCGGCAAAACTTAACGAAAGAATTTGGTAAAATAGGAAGACCGTGATTATGATGCGGTGCGGAACGCTGCTGCAGCCAATCTATTTTTACAATGGTTCGCCTTATGGCGAATACATATTTCGGATTTATAATTAGAATTCTTATATGTGGTTGTAGCGGATTGGTTCGCTTATACGTTACGGGATGACGTTATTAAGAAAAAAAGGAAGTAACAACTATTAAATAACTATTTGAATACTTGTCAATCAAAGTTAATTCTTTACTATTGCAAATGGATCGTCTGAAAAAGTCACTTACTGCTCAAGCTTTTTTGATGTTTTAAATTGATGATCCTGTGCACGAATGACTACGGATCTCGAATAACTTTTCTCACTGTCTGCGGAGCTATGGTGGGATATTGTGAACGTACTGACTTGCGATCTTGTTGAAATATTTCCTAAATTTGGTAGATCTCCATCTTCTCTGCGAGAGCCATTCTCAAAGTTCTCGAAACTTTTTTCTGAAAAATTCTTTCCCGAAATGTTGTCATTGGTTTCGTGCTCGTTTGCTATGTCCCTTAATAATTTATAATTGTTTTCCTTAACGGCTCGCGAATGTTTCAATAATGCTTGCAAGGAACTATGACTGTCGTTGAAGTCAAGTCCTTCTAAAATTAAATTTTCATCGTCTTTAAGTGCCTGCGCACTTTCCTTCTCCATCTTTGATCGTTTTCCATGATGCTTAACAATTTCTTCGGAAAAATGTGAGCTTGACTTTGTCCTTAAAACATTTTCTTCCAAAACGTCCGATGACAATTTTGCCTTTTGACTCCGAGAGCCTTTACGTTTTGAGCTTGGCTTGGTTTCGGAATTATGAGTTTTTTTAAAGTTATCTTTCTCTATTAATACAGATTTTTCATTCTTTTTTGACGTCTTAGAAGCTGTCAATAACGTATTGTCGTTCTCTGCAATTTGTGACGATTTTAGCTTCTTTAACTTCGATTCTTCCGCAGTATCTGAATCGCCCTTCATTATCCCGGTGTCAGGAAATGAATTTTTCATACATTGTTCTCGATCCCGCGATGGTTTTATACCTTGGCCGTTATTCTCTGCAGTAGTTATAGATGACTTCGACTTGCGAGATAATTCTTCAATTAAAGTATCCGACTCTGATTTCACGTATTCACAAATTGACTTATCTGTGTTGTGTGGCACTAGATTCAAAAAATCATTTGAATGTACATCGATGTGTAGATTACATTGACTATCTACGTTCACAGACTTTCCATGCATGGAATTTGTAGAATTAATGTCAAAACGATGTGATTTCAAGCATAACACATCTGGTTTAGGCATTTTATCTTCATATTTACGAGACTTCAATTCGTATTTCGACTTTGCGTCACCCTTTTGTGTCCGAGAATAACATTTCTGTTGTTTTCCATCAATTTCTCCAAAATCGTCCGACTTATCAGACTTTGATGCGTATGCAATGGATTCTTCGATCATCTGGTCAAACTTATCAGCGTTTGAACGATCGAGCTTCTGAAAATTTCAACGGATTTACTCATGTTTATATAAAGTGACAGATTTATGCAATACGTATTTGCAATGGCATAAATATGTACCTCCTGCATAGATGTATCCAAATCTGATCTCATAAATTTCCTCTCGAGTTTATGGGAACTCGTATCCGATACTTGAGACTTCATTCCCATTTGAGAACGATCCACTTGAGACTTATCAGAATCCACTAATGAGCTCATAGAACTGTTACTTCTAATATCATAACCCTTCATTGGTCCTGACAACCGCCTTGGCGATTGACTATCGGCACTCCTTTTCAATTTGGTTAAAATATTCTTCGTGGACATTTGAGGATTAAACATGTTTCGTTGCTTTTGCAACATAAGTTTCCGCTCCTGACTTGCCATTTTATGCAATTCTTTTAACCTATACCAATGAAGATTGCAGCAAGTTAAATATATATATGTTAAATAATGCGAAAGTTTGTTTTCATGTATAACAATCAAATGTCATCTTACCTATTCATCTCGTCTTTTTCTTGTTGCAGCTTTAATAACAAAGCCCTCTGCTTCTTTTTCACTGAACTAATACGACTATCTTGACCGGTATCTCTTAATGCACGCTTTTGTTCCTCCAATTTAACCAATTTTCTGGTACGATCATTTAGAGTTTTCTCACGCGATTTAAATAACATTTCGATTTTATCATATCGTTGCTTCTCATCCTTTATTAATTGAGCCATCTGAAAGCACAGAGAGCTTTATAGTAAGAAAGCTTTATAGTAAGAATAGTTATAAAGAATATGACCCATACCTCTAAATCCAAGTACTTGTTGAAGGAACAAGTGACGCCTCTTGTAGAAATACTAATTTCCGTGCCAGTTTCCGTCTTTATAGACGAAGTTGTTTCATGCATACTAATTTCGGACATTGTCCTCAATTTACTTGGTAAGGAAACGTCTTCAATTTGATCCAATTCTTCCACCTGATCCAGTGATTCTAGGGATAAATGTGGAATTTCGCAAGGTATCGAGGGACCTCTTTCATACGTTATGCCAGAGAATTCACGAAACCGATCAGGTAGATTATGTCGACGAAAATGAACATCGGTTTGAGTCGCGATATCATTTACGGTTTGCGTTTGAACTTCCACTACTTTTACTAATGATTTACTTTGTTTCTTTAAAGTCTCATCAAATTCCTCCGCTATTCTCTGAGATTGAGCAGCACGGTCCATCAAGCCATCCGAATCGGTTGTTTGAAGGTCATTTATCTTCTTTGGAATTCTAATATCTCCAGCACCCGCATCATCTAAATTGTTCTTATGCGAATTTCGTAAAGCTAAAAACATAAAGTAATTATTCAATGCTACTTGTGTAATTGATCATCAGTAGTATTAAAGTGAACTCACCCGCAGCGTCAGACTCGATTTTACTTCGGCTTGTGTGACATTCTGTATCGATTGTATCTTTATTCGCTTGCGGAACTATTAATTGTTTCTTCGTTTCATTAGTTTGTTTTTGCTTTTGCAACAACTCTTTTTCCTGTTCGTGTTTAACATTGTGAAGGCATTTCTCAACGTCCATCACTTGTCTCAATGATTCGTTAAAAGAATCCAGAAGATGCAATTCGGCTTGAAATTGCATATGCAGTGCAGCAGGATGTAGCTAAAAATATATACTCGTTGAAATTAGATATACTCAATAAATTTGTGATTCAAGTACATGCTGAAATTTAAAACGAACCAATTGAATGCCTGCATCAGTAGTCTCCATGTTTAGCGATGATTTGTGTTTTATATTTCTAACATCAGCCTCGGTATCATTTCCTTGCAACAATTGCTTTTTTCTTTTTGACGGAAGCATCAAATTAACGTTTGGTGTTACTAAATCACAAAACTCTTCTTGCTGTGTGTAACTATCGTCTCTAAAAGATATCTTTCTAGGATCCATAATGACTTCTGAAAATGAACCGTCGAATGAATTGTGTGATTCCCCATTTGTATTTGTTTGGTTAGTGTTCGAATTAATGACACTGTGAAATGATGCGTCCTCATTCTTGGGAATGTTGGTGACATTGCTTTGCTCTGAAGAATTTTCAATGTAATTCATATCCTCGGTACTTCTATTGGATTTACTAGGGTCTGTTGAGATTTGAGTATTGCAAAGAGATTTTTCAGGCTCTTTAATTTTTGATTGTTGAGAAGACGTTTCTGTATGTAAAAAACATCCATTATTAATATTTTCACTTTTAGATGCAGTACTTCGATTTCTGAGACTCGTATTTGAATTAAAGACAGATTCAATATCTTCTGATATTTCAGACGAAGTATTCATGTATTTTTGTTCAATTTTTCCAGCAGTCGATTTAGGTCTTTCAGAAATTCTTTTAGAGTGCTCCTTAGATGTACCATCAATAGGTTTTTGTTGTGATTGAGTAGATAATTTAGAATGTTGTTTTGAAGGCCTTATATCCGAGCCTTTATGTTTTTGATCATCCGCTTGTTTCATTATGTTTGACAAGTGATAATTCTCTTTATATTTATGTTCGGTATTTTCTGACACCATTCCTTTAAGACTATCTCTGTCAATATTTTTTTCTTGTGACTTTATTACTTGATCAAGAACACAATCGTTACTGCAACTTTTACTTCTTGAGTCTGCAGACTTATCTCTTGCCGATTTTGAACTTTGTACATTCCATACTTTGTGTCTTTTATCATCATCCTTTTTTGTAGTAGAAGTTGCAAAATTTCGGCTTTTTGCCTTCTTTACTGTAGAATCACTTTCTTTTGGTATATGCGATAAATAATTCTCATTTTTAAGCATCTTGAATATAGAAACTGCACCATCTTTCTTAGGCATATGCTTAGAATTTCGTAACTTTTTTGGAGTGTCTTGCAAAGTTTCTTCTGTCTTTGAACAACTGGAGTCATCCTTTTTTATTCTTTTAGATCTATTTTCTTTTTCTCTGGAACTGTCTCTTGCATGATCCTTTTTCTTTGTTATGGACGATGAAACAGAAAACTCTGGTGTCTTTAATGGTTCGATATTTTTGCAACTTACGACAGACGTTCCTTCAGAGACAGTAAAATCCAGTTTTCTTTGTACTCTATCTATGGTTTTTGTAATTTTATCACCTCTTGGTGGTGTCATTTCCTTAGAAAGGGTTTCAAATTTTTTTAAGCTTGTATGTGTTTTATGTTGACTGGACTCTCTTAAGGAAGAATTATCTCTTGAAGAGTAGTCCAAACTTTTTGGAGATATCTTCACATCAGGCACTTTCAATGGTTTTATGAAGTCCATTTTCTGTGCCACTTGTTGTATACTCTCTTTATAATCAGTATTAACATTAACTGCATCTGTATTAACGTTTGCCTTTTCTTGCTGCCTTGGCTCATATGCTTTTTTGCATGTCTCAGGATATATACCTAGTGCAAGTTTTCTTTTTACTGCAGTGATGAATGTAAATGGATGTGGCTGTATTGGATGACATGTTAATAACGAATCCAAGTTATTAAAGTCTGTGCCATGCAAGGAGTTTTTAGGATTTTCTTGAGTTTCACCTTTAAATTGATCTTGCTGCAAACTATTTTGATAGCCCTGTTTAGCATGTATAGCCTGCAAATAAAAAAATGACCTTTGTAGTAAAATGACTAAAGTAGAGACATAAATACTTGCATTGAAAAATATTGAATTTATTCAATTATTGAATAACTCACAGCAGCAGCGCTTTCAGCACGCTTAGCAATAACATCAGGATCAGAAAAGAATGTATACTTGTTTTTTGAACCAGTCTCCCTTTTCTCATTACTGCTCATGTTTTCATTTTTTATTCAAGCTCTTAGCATTGCAGTACTTTCTATGCCTGGGTTGATATCCCAATATAGAAAAGTATATTAAATTTGCTACATAGATCAAACATAACATTGTTACATTATATTTTGTAACTATGTACAACTTATTCTTTTAATAAAGTTTAATGTTATTCAAAGTCAAATATCATTTCTATTAAAATGTTCAACATAATTGCATCCATTGAAATAAGTATTCTGAATGATGGATGTAATAAGTCAAAAGTAAGCAGATAGTAAACTGCATATTTTATTCTATAAAATCAATTAAGTGCTAAGAAAACATAGATTACAACTGATTAACTCCTTTAAACTTGCACTTTTAAGATTGTTTTGAGAAATGCAACAGATTCAAGCCAAAATACAGAGCAATAAATAGCTTTAAATCCCATATCTTTTATTATACTTGTAATCAAGTAATGCAAGTCATCTCATATATATATTTTTTTAATATCCTCAGTGAGTATCAACAATCTATAAGACAAAATAATAAAATTTCACAACTCACATTACATCCCAAGATGTTTGTATTGTTCCCAGTTGAATTCCTAATTCGTATCCAAAATTAATAGAATCAGGAAGATGTAATACGTTGCATTCTCATAACCTACGATAAGACGCCATATTTAGCATACACATCCATTTATGACAATATTGTCACAATTGCGTCCCAATACGTTGATCAAAATATTCACGATAAGACTTAATCTGTTGATCGATGCTTTACTTGCAGAACTTTCACGTATTCAAGTTCATGTCACTTGTACGACAGTCTACTCAAAAGTTCGGTGCAACCGTCGTTTGTAAACTCTGATCACGTGGTAGGACAACATGGCAGTATAAATAAGCATCCCTGAATCGATATGCAGTCAAGAAACATCAAATAAAGCTCACGTGTGAACGATTGTCGGCGAACAATGCCGTAACATCAAAGCGGATGAATATTTAAGTTCGGTAATAAACAAGATAAAATGATTCCTAAATCATGAGTATGCTCTTGATTATGGAATCAAGATGCGATAAGAATATAAGGGTGTTTTACAGAATTGATCTTGAAATTTGAGGGAAGATCTCATAAGTTAAAAAACATATAATATTGTTATGAAACATGTATCGGACGATGTATGATGCTGCCTTGTAATCTACCTTCGAAATAGAAACTGGACGAGATATCTAGAAAATAGAAGAACAAATCATTTTTAGAGACGTCTATCAAGAACTGATCTTCAGAATATCGTAAACTGTTGAACAGTACAGAGAGCCGGTACCAAGAGTCAGTAATAAATATTTAAATTCATTTAAATATTGTGTGCATATCTTTTCATTGGTCAGAATATATAAATATTAAGTTTGTTAAAAATATACGACATTTTCCTCACAATAATTTTTTGAACTAGAATTTGGTGCCACTATATATGTACAGTACAACGTCGATTATCCGAACGTCAATTATCCGAAACGTCAATCATCCGAACACAGATTCAGTTTCAGCGCAAAATCCAGCTTCTGGTGTAAAGCAGAAGAAAATCCTCGACTTTTTCCAAAGAAATACATATGTAGATTCTATTGACGAAAAATATAATATATATAAATGTTAATATATTAAAGATATCGAGTGTCGTTGAAATATATATATATATGTATTCTATACTTTTCACCGTTTCAATCTTGCCTTTTTTCCAACAAACAACTCCTGTTCGGTCATCCGAATTTTCGATTATCCGAATGGTAGTGGGTCCCAATTAGTTCGGATAATCGACGTTCTACTGTATGTATAATCCGATTCGATAAATGAAACACCTATACTATATTTAGAATCGCACTTCGTCGATATAAACATACATGACTACTAATTACAATGCAGTGCATGTTTTTAAATTATGTTTAATTACAGTTATATAATTAATCACATATTGCTTCATTATTGTTATCATTATACCATTTTTTGTAAAGTACTACTTATCACTGTTCTTGGGTTATGTTTCAGACGTCGGAAGTTATAAGCGATGTCGTAAAGGTAACGAGAAACAATTCTAAAAAACTTGTTATATTATCGAATAGTCTAATCAAATGAAAAAGTATTTTTTATAGAATTGAAGGCAGAATAGTGCTGTAAGCTTTATGTATGCAAAATTAAACCTATGGTTGAGCCTACTGAAGTTTTTATAATTATGACGGCTATCTTGAACTTGTAGTCCGACTATATAGTTGTAATTATTCTCGTATCCTTGTTAAACAATATTTAAATCTTAGGATTTAATTAACAAAATACTATACTAGATCTGTGTGCGTGAAAAGTATGTTTTAATTTTATGAAAATGTTCACGTTGATTTAAAAAGTAAATTGGAAACAGTTTTCGTAATTCCAATGATATTGCTTAATATGGCTTTGCATCTGTGAACGACACGGAAAATATCAGCCCGAATTATATGTATAGATATTGGTCTAATGATCCCAATAGTGCCGTTTTAAGAAGTGCTTTATATAGAATATTTATACATATATAGGTATCTGAGTTGTGAAAAAAAAAAGTCAAAACTGCACTTGTGCACGAAAGTGAGAATGTAAAAATATAGCTGAAGAATCTCTAAATATTTCTTAGCCTTATACCTGATATGGATGATTACTAAGATTTGCCAATATATCTATAAGTCTTTTAGCCGAAAAAATAATTTTTTTAAATGTAGAAATATTGAGGGACTGTGTAAAAATTATTAGCTAATTATTTTGTGTTGCACGAGTAACAATAAATGGTCAAATGATGAATTATCACTAAACATTGAATTACAACTAAACATTGATGCTCTTTATGATACACAGACTTTGACATTATTTTTAGATTTTTGCGTATGCGCTGTTTTCGGACAGTATGTGCTGAACATTTGCAAATGTTACTGTACCATTTACACGCGGAACTGAATGTTTCGTGTACATTTCAAATTGAGCTTGTTTAACAGTAGCACGAAAATTTTCGGAATTTATTATAGAACTATTTCATAATTAAATCGTACATATACATGTAAGCGTAGATCATCGACCTGTAATATAGCAAACAGTGCCGCACCTAATATTGGAATGTTCATTCAAAAGCTAAGAAAACAGGTTTTCATACAAGAATGTGTCTTCTTCAGATTTCAAGATGTAATTGGTTGATGGTTATCCTCTTTGCATTTTCAGTCCATTTGAGATACCCGATCGCATCCCTTAGATAAAAGTTGATTATTCAGAAAACTAATTTTTCAATTGGTCAATAATCGTGCGTCATAGAAAATTTGGTCAATTAAGAATCTGATTTGATTTAGATCGCGCTTGGAATATAATTATTATTCGATAGAAAGTGTTATACAAAACGTTCAACTAGAATCGAACGCGTATGATTGGTTAAACTAGACACAGGCAATAAGGAGAACTGTCCAGCCCTACAGTTGGTTGGTTCTAGTAGAATGTTTTTAAAACGACCGATGGTTTAACTTTGTATTGAGTTGAGTAAGATATTGTCAACACAAATTCTCGTTATTCGCTGGCTCCAGCGGAATATTTTCGAAATGACCAATAATGTAGCTTTAACAGAAGCTATTGTGTTGAAACAAGTTGGATAGCTGCGTAGCATAGCATCTCTCGACTGAACATGTGCACATGTGCACAAACTCTTTCTTACTGATTGTGTTGAGTTTCGCTTCTACGTGTTTGCTCCGTGCTGGCGGCACATTAGACAGAATTACACGAAGCCAAAAACGGTCTAGAAAAAAAAGAACTTTTTTTTGCTTGGTAAACGTGGGTTCCCCAAAAACCATTGGTGCGTGTTCAGTACTATTGGGCGCTATTTTTAGGAATTTGAAGAATTTTTTACCACACCAAAAGAAAGTAAGTGCGATCTTATTACATAATTATCGTCTGACGTAATAGTTCTAATTTATTTCAATTTACTTTTCACCGGCATATTGTTATGTCGCAAGCAGCCTGTCTGTCATTAGGCATCAGCTGTTAAATTTATCTAGTTCATTTACAAAAAATGTTTATTATGGATCATTGGCCCATAAAATGTATCAAGTTCTGCGACCAATAAATTTGATACATATTTTATGGAAAGATAAATCATTTTAATCGTTCCGTTATAATAGACAGCAAATATAGAGCAGCTGTATGTATTACTTTTTATTGATATCAGTTTTAGGCATTTATATTTAGACTTTGGAAAATATTTTTCTTCTTTTCCATAAATCTTTATCTGTTCACCATAATTTGATTAATTTCTAATACTCTACTTGTAAGAGTATAGGTAGATAAATACAAAGCATGTTAAAGTTCAATGGCACAGAAGTAAAAACATTTATTGTGTTGTAATCGTATTAGAACCATATTAGTTCTACTTATATAGTAGTCTTCTTATATATTTGCCGTGTGATATTTTTCAGTATAATGTCTTAATCAAGAGATTTATTATTATACTTATAGATGATATTGAACGTAATTTGGATCTGAGATTTATTGCTATAGATAAGTTCTAAATATATTTAACAATCCATAATACATTGTTATTAAAACATCTAATATAACATATTTGTTATTACATAGTATCAATTGTCATTAATGAGTATCGAAACTCTCTGAATGCTTTTATATCATTAAAAATTGCAATTGTGCAGATTCATTTGTGTATACAATTAGTTTTTTCATATATCATAGTTTCATAAAATGTTATTTCTCTTTGAAGCTATGAACAACTGGTTAGAAAACATTTGCAGTATAATACTATTGTATGAGGAACTCAAGTATAATATATTTACTGCATGTTACATTATTATTAATAACAATAAATTTATACCATGGAATAGAGTACAAAATTTATATATGGGGCTAGTCAACTCAATCGTAACAACTGAAGTTATTTGGTCAATTTATTTTTTATGGTAAAAACAATTTCTGATGATACATTTGATAGTCTTATGTACAAAATGTTACATATCATTTTTTTTACATTATTCTGTATGCATATATCTTGTAATTCTTAATCCTCCAGTAATTATTTTTCTTATTCTGACTATATTAAAATACATAAATTTGTATAGTTTGTCAGAATGCGTGTATGCTTATGAATGGCAAGTATGTGTGATAATATGATGATTATTGATAAGATGTTATCTTGAATTATGCAAAACGTATATTTACAGATGGGAGAAACACCAAAGTATTACGGAAAGAGACGCAGCATTGTGCGACGAATTGGATCACTCCTACCACTAAAACCGCCACCTAAAATATATGTCAGTGTCACAGCCTTACACTCGATGACGAATTCTATGATCAATGAGGAGACTAGTAGTGACTGTATTGATTCCAATGTTGTTGGACCTGGAAAGTATGATAATTTATAGCTGATATTAATTTTATCTTCATCTCTTTACTATAATAAAATTACAGCAATCCTGACTAATATTTACATTATATGAAAACTATTTTTCTTAGTCGGCAGTCTCTAACTCTTTATAATTTAATTATGCAATGCTTATATTTCAAAATAGAAATATTGTTTGTTTAGTGGTCGACTATCAGGGAGTAAACCAGATTTGTTGGAACCAATCAGTTTTGGTTCAGAGGTGCGGCTTCTTGCTCTAGAACAAGAACTACAAGAATTACGTGAACAAATCTCGTTAATTGTCAATACTACCAAACAAGTAGATAAACGTAAGCAGAATACTTTTCAAAAACAGTTTATTTGAATGAAAAATGATTTATACGAGTGTCTATTATAGAATCTTCATTATCTTCTTTAAAAAATGGATATGAGAATGGCCTACCGCCACCCCCACCGCCTCCTTTACCACCACCAACAACACCTCATATAGCACGAAGAGCTAGTCTTCAAGATCACAAATTCGAAGATCGTACTAAACCTCAGTTGTTGGCTCAAAAGTCTATGGGAGATATACTCAAAGATATTGACAAAGTCAAGTTGAAGCCAGTTGCAAGGTAGGAATGATTAGCTTAATAACAAGACTGTACTTATTGCATGGAATGCATTTAGGAAAATATAATTTTATATTATACCAATTTTTAACAGTTTTAATCTTATGAAAATCGTATCTGAATAGTAGATGTAGTTCCTGAAAAATTTTAGGTAATCTTTTGATAATATTATGTTTTGAGTTATTATTTTCTTAATGTAAAGGTCAGTTTATAACATATCATGAACAATGTCAAGATGTAAAGGTGAAAAATAATCGGTCAAGTTTTCTGAAGTAGATTTATAAAAATTTATTAATTTTTGGTAAGCACTGTTGGTTTCGAACAATAGTTTTTCATGATTTATTTCAATAATTACTTTCAAGAATCTTTCCATCTACGTATATTCATTTTTGTTTACTTTTCATAGTTATTCGAATGATATCCTATTACAATGCTACAATTATATGAAAATTAATTTGTCTACACAAGTTTTAGTAAGATCATATAATCGGTCCACGACTAAAATAACTTGCAGTGACAAATGGGGACACCTGTTTTGTGTTAGGAAATCCAATAGCAAAATTTCTCATTTGCTAGTGCTCTTTTACTGTAGGTAATAAATGATGTTTCATTAACTTCCATTCATTCCATTGGTTTATGAAATATTACTCTCAGCAAAAAAGCATTCACATTGAGAAATTTTGCTACGAGCTTTACATTTTTCAATATGTCACTATTTTGCTTGTGAACCGATTATAGTTGATATTTTCGATGACAGAGAATTAGAACAGAATTAATCGATGGTATTAACCTATTTTCTTTAAACATACACGTAATCGATTAACTTCTTTAATAACAATAGTTGCGTTTTACAAGTAATTAAAAAGTTTATTAACTCAATACTAAAGAAAAATTTATCTCATTTTAAATACATTTTGTAGGTCACCGGGTGGTCGTCCTTTACGAGTCAAACGCGAAAATAGTCCTTGTAATGATTTACAAGAAATTTTACGAAGAAGGTACATTGCGATGAAAACACCCGATAGCAGGAACTCGTCAGCCAACGTGACACTTGATGATTCGTTTTAATATGCCATTTAAATCTGTAGAAGACCTGAATTTTTTTTTTTAACAGAGCATTCACAGTGGTCTGTGGCTTAATTCTTATAGCTTGAGCATGCATTGAGCAAACATAGGTAACCCATTTTCTTTCATCGGCCACGTATTTCAAACAATCAAAATTGAAGAAAAAAAATCCGAAAGTTACTATTTACAATTTGCTGTTCCATTTATTAGATATGTTTGCATATATTTTAAGCCTTTCCCAAGCAGGCTTGGGATTCAAGAGCTCTTTTAATAAATTTATATTTAAAAAACATTAGCCACTACTTAGAAAAGACATAGTATTCGCAAGAAATTGAATGGAACTCTTTAAACTCAGTGAACTGTCAAGCTGTGAAACAATTTTGTGCACTTTATCAGATATCGATACTTAAAACTTGTTACGTTGTGCTATCTTTAATTGGTACTTCTCTTTTATCAAAGTTACTTTCATGCTATGTGATATAATAATATGACGAATAAGAATTACATGGTATAAATCAACATGTTTTTTATAAAATTCATAATGGAAATGTAAATACATTTTTCAAAATTATTCTAGTTGCGTAACACTATGGTTGGTGCCATGCAATCTTTATTCGTATTAATTATGTGTGCCTCTTTTAAGAGTAATTATGATTAATGAAGAACTCATACATCAAATGATTATATAATTATTCAAATTGTAATAATTAATGTGGAATTAGACCAACACCAATGCTGAATTAGTTGCATCATTCAGTTTTTTGGTTCCTATGCTTGCTCAATTTCTGCTCATAACTGTAAAGGTCTGATTTTTTTTAATTGTAATATCTCATTGATTTGTAAGTCATGCCTGAGCGTGAATTTTTGAAATTCGTCCAAGACCTTCGTAACGTGTAAAGAAATTGCGTGAGCCTTGACACCAAACTTGAGATGTCGACACGAATATGTAAATAGAGAATTGAAAGGAGTCTGTTATTTTTATCAACGTTTTATTTGTATGGAATGTTTCAACAGTTTTCGAATTACTTGACGGTCTTAAGAGTAACACTTCCGTAATTAGAGTCAACGACGAAATAGTATGAATCAAAATGCCAATCTTTTGTTTAATATTGTTTTTGTTCGAATCGTTGTTCATTCTAGGAAGTACTTATAATTTGTTATAACAATTATAATCAAAACAAATTTTGCATTACAGAAAAAAAAAACATTTTTTTCTTTCATTGCAAAGCTTTATATTAATATACTACCTGTGTTCATACATTTTCAAAACATAAACTTTTATACTTTAATATTCTGAAACTGTCAACAAAAACGTTAATCATATTCCCGAAAATGTCAATGAATAATTGTATTATCGAATGTCTGTCTACATCCTTAAACGCAATATTATTATTTTTACACCACATTCTTGAAATCCACTGTTTTCTCTGGGCAGCATGTACAATGTGACGAAAAAAAATATTAAATATTATTAAAAAATTAAAGTATTAAAAATACTGTAACAATTTTTATAGAAACAGTGGTTGTTACATATGAGGATGATAATGGCGATAGTATACCGATACACAAATTTCAGTACAAAAAAAATTCTAGCAATAGCATTACACATAACAAATTCCGTATAAATTGTACTTTTTATTTGACATTTGGGAATATATTTCATAAATATCCAAAAACGTAGAAATACAAGGTATAGACGGAACTTAAATCTTCAATGAAATTACGTGCATAACTGTTGCATCCTTTTAACCCTGAATGAACTGTAAGGCTGTTGTATGTATGAGTCTCTCATTTGCAAACTGTAATTTCATATTTAGTTTAAAAAGATTCTATCTTATAATGAGGAGAGCAAATATATTTTTCCTTTGATCTGAGAGTTGAGTTAAATTTTGACTTTGGAAAAATATCTCACAAATAACTTTAGCATTTTTATATAATATTTGGTTTCATATTTTTCAATTATAGCACATTAAACATTGGCAAATATTATGTGAACTCAACGAGTGATAGTAAATAATACTTTTATAATGTCTGCATCCAGAAATAAACGTTACATAAAATATTATGATACATCGTACGCTTAATGAAACCTTTGTATTGTTTTAAATGATGTAATGCTTTCAATGAGACATCATATATGGTTTGCGTTACAGTAACATACTTATTTTATATTTTCGACTGCTTTCGAATGAAATTAGACGTACGGTGCAATTTTATGTTTTAACTATTATTAATGATTTTAATAGTTTTGAGACTGAACGAGATCTGCAAAGGTGTGACGGTTGTACAGATGTACGTGTTTTATACCTGAAGCTTTTATCAATGACTCGAAATAAATGTTATTGTTACCTAACTTTGTATATAACTTATTCTAAAATGATAAGCTCCGTACCCTTAGAAGAGAACAAAGTAACTTGTTAAAGAATGCCATTTCTGAGTCACTTCTTAATTTTAAATACATGTATACTTGTAAGACTCATCTAAAATTGTCAATTATAATTTCATTGTACATACATTCAAATTTCATGTTCTTGAGTTTTGCTAGAAATTGAACTTTGTATTGCATTTTAGGGACAGCTGACGCAAATTTCGATCAACGAAACGAAATTAATAATCAAGGGGATTTTCATCCAAGCATATACTTTATTTTTTAATCGAATGTTATATTAAATTATAATTTGATGTAAACAACAAGTATAAAAGATTTGCGTATATCTCTCGTACTGTCATATTGTCAATCATACTGAAGTTCATATAAAGGTAAATAAAGAGGGTTATAAGCGTTTCATGGAAAAAAGGTATGATGGGTATTCCACTAACAATCGCAACTAGATAACTGGCATAGTAACGAGATTAATGGAACAGTTAAACAAAGCAGATTTACCTTAGTTCTAGTATAGTACAATATACGGGCTTTGTTTGATATATGTATTTATTTGAGTGATCTTTGTCAGTTAACTCGAGGAAATTGAAGTGACTGAACATGAATTTAGTTGATTTATTTGATGAAAAAATGTTTAATACTTTTCTCGAATTAAAGGAATTTGGAACTACAGAACTATAAAAGTTATAGATCAGTTAATTTTATCATAGGACTTTTATTAAAGTATATCTGTTATCATTTTCATGTATTTTAGGGACCACTATGATATGCTATTTCCATAAGGAATAATTTTTAAATCAAAAGAAAATTTAATAGCAATTCTTATACAATGGTAATTTTTCTTGGATTTATAAATCATTTGTTGTGAAACAGTGACATGAAATTTGAGTAATAATTTCTGATGCATTTGAGAAAGTCTTGAGAAGACTTAAGAAAGTTCTCAGTTCTTTGTAAAAAAAAATAAATGACATTCAAGTCTTTATCCCGACTATATTGAGAATAAGCTGTTTTAATATCAGGTAAGAATTTTTTTTAAAACTTAAATTTGATATATTCAATTATATATTAATTTATTGCATGTATAAAGTACGACAATTACACGTAACACTTTAAATCTTTGTATAGTACACTAACTTCGATTTTTCCATTTTGCATTGTTATGTTTTATTGTATTTCACCATTCAAATGAAAAAGTCAAAAGTCTAATAAATGGAAATTCTATTAAACAATAATTTCGGTAATAATTTAGTGACTATAATATTGATGTACCTATACTTGATAAAAATGGATACGAAAAAAAAATACAAAAAAAAATGGTCAAGTTATAAAGTCGTTCTTTGAGTATTTCTTTTTTTTCGTTGATTTCTCTGTTTTCTGTTATGTCCGTGTACCACTATCTTTCGTTATGTGAAAGTGAAAATAACCTTTATTAACAAAGAACATTTTTCACAAAATTAAATATCGTATTACAGAATTAAAAAAAATTAAAGCTAGTACAGAGTGATACAAGGTGACAGCGCTGTAAGCATTATTTCATTCTGTTACTATATGTTAAAAAATTAGGCAATTATGACCTTCCTAACAAATTACGTACAAGTACAACTAATTATCATAAATATATTTCTATATCTTTCATAAATCAGTCAATCAAGTTTAGAAATAGATAAAATTATATGTATCTCTTTTGCATGGCAGGAAAGAGAGTAGAACTGAATTTGTGGTAAACATAACTTCAAAAACTGTCTGTATGGACTATACAAAAAATATCTGCAGCTGTGCATGCTTAATATAATTTTTTTTCTCTTAAAAAAATATTTAAAAAGAAAGTTAACGGTTCTAGATTATATGCTTTATTAATCATAAAATATACTTAATGATTAATGACACATAACGTTACATTTCAGGTACAAATGCATTAAATTACTCTTAATATTTAATAAATTATAAAATATGAAATAGCTTATATGAGATTTTGTGTTATAACTTTAAATTCTATACAAATTTCACGCAAGATTGATATAGCAAAAGTTTAATTCTTATGTCATTAGTTTTTTGAATTAAGTAAAAACTCATTTGTAACAATTTCTTGAGCACGATGAAGAGCCATGATGATCTCACTTGAGTATTTATTATTATTTTGGCAATATTCAACGGCTGTCTTTATGGCATTATAACCCTGAGCCACTGATATCTCTTTGTTTACATTTTTCGAATTGTTGTTTTCAAAATTTTTTTTATTTAAATTGAGTTCACCTCTAAAAATTTGCAGAATCTCATTATCATCGTAACACTCTTCAGGTGACATTTTAGTTGTGCAATTTAACCACAAGTCCACATGAGACAACTCAACATCTATATCAAGGACTTTAAGTGCTTCCTGAAATTTTTGAGATAATGCCATCAACTGATTTTTCTGATCTCTCTCAGTGGTCTGCGATGTCTCAAGTATGCTCTCATCATCCATTGTAGTGTGAGTTATTGTACAATTATCATTATTTGCACCAGTGTTATCAATATTTGACAATAACTGAAAAATAAAAATTTTAAGTTGTTAACGGTGATGAAATATGTAACAAATAATCATTCCATAGAAGAATAATTACTTTAACGCAAAATAATAAAAAAAATCAATGTTAATTGAGTTAATTGGTATTCAAGTTACCTTATTCCATGACTTCTTTATTGTTTCAACTGATACACGTTGCCAAGCACTAGCAATCCAGAAGATAACATTTCTAATTGTTATTTTCTTAAGGCCACCACTTAGCGTATCTTCACTACCTCCACTATTTATATATTGAAGAAGGTACACCATCAAATATTGACGATAATATGATTTTAAAGTTTGCAGACAATTTTGATCCATAGGTTGTGTTAGCGAGGTTGTGTTCAGTGGTAAAAAACGAGTAATTACATTCCCTTTTGACAAAGTTGTGGGATGGGCTGAGCAATTGTCAAAATAGAGAACAGCTTTGAGTTGTAAGCCTTTTATTTGCAAAAACTTAATAACTGCTGGCACAAATTCATTCTCAAACCATTCACTGAAGATCTGTGCAGTCATCCATGCATTCTTTTGGTTTTTGTAATATACTGGAAGGACTTTTAAATCTTTAATTGCCCTTGGCCTCTCAAATTTTCCAATAACCGCAAGTGGTAATTTTAGAGAACCAGATGCATTGCTACAGGCCATTATAGTAATTCGCTCTTTATTACCCTTAAAACCTAAGACTTCTTCTTCATACTTGGCAGAGAGAATAGTCCTTGGTAGCATTTTAAAATTAAGTCTTGTTATATCACAATAGAATACTTGATCTAAAGTTAAACCTTTGGCTTCAATGTAATTGTTCAAATCGATTTTAAGTGATTGAACAGCATCAGTGTTCGCTGATAGTTTTTCTCCACACACTGTAACACTTTGGATGTCATGACGTTTTTGCCACCTACAGAGCCATTCATTGCTAGCTTCAAATTTGTCTTGTAACTCCAACGCTTCATGAAAGTAGTTTGCTTGAACTTGAATCAATGCAGCATGCAATGGCAAACCGCAAGCTCTTTTTTCTCTGAACCACATCCACATGATTCTGTCAATAATATTATTTTCATCTTTTCGCATTCTCTTATTACCTCCTGACGTCTCACTGTTGCATTCTTCAAGCCATTCATTCAACTTATTTTCATTTTTCTTCCACAACATTACTGTCGCATTTGTCACGTTCAGGTTATTTGCAATAACAGAAACTGGCACACCATTATTTAATTCTTTTATTGCATTCTGCTTTACCGATAATGGATGCGATATGTTTTTTTTTCTTTTTTTATTTACATCGCTTGACATTTCTTTTAGAATAATTATTACTATTTAATATGTCTATATGGCCAGAATTATGACACAAAACTCAGACTATACACAAATATTCCATCAGGTTATATGATCTGATCAGATCTGATTAATGCGCATTGATGTGCGCAGACTCAACGTCAAACCTGACGGGATTCAGATTGATACATATTAAAGCTAAACCAGTTGAAGTCATGTTAATTTTAAGAAAACGATTTTGGAAAAATAGCATAGCATCGGGTAACTTATGCTAATTACCGCAGCTAATTTGTAGTTGTAAATTGTCCTTCAGTTGAATACTTCAAATTGACATAAATGTCAGACTTAACATTAAAAATCCCTAAATATTACTAGGATGATAAACAACACCGGCCGAGCTACGAAACTCACGTGTAAAGTAGTGGCTAATCATGATTAATGATCGTTTCTTAGAGTAAGTCAGTGTACGTAAAGAATAATTAAAGTATTTAATGAAAATGAAGGAATGAAAATATATTTTTATTCGTTAAATCAAATGGAGCACCAATTAAGGATAATGTATTAGTAGAATTGTAACCTGGTAAGTGTTCCACTTTATAACTCTTGTCACTCATAGCATGACACAAAGTATCAGTTGTACTTGATGTTTTATAATAAATTTAACGTAACTGGAGCATTGAAAATATTAAGCTTCTTTTATTTATTTTTATTTCAACCAAATGCAAATACAAGTTCTATAATGTTAATATAAATATATTGTACCTGAGTTGTAAATACTTTACAAATTGATTTCCATCTTAAGTTTTGTGTGAACTAGTTGTAAATTGAATTGAAAAGAAATTGATAACAATAACTATAATCGTAAAGTGTGTTTCAAACCAGTTGTAATCTGTTATATATCAATCTTTAAATGCAGTGAGTATATCATATCCATATCTTCTAATTATACTAACAATAATTATTGTGTTCTAATTGTATTTAATATTCATTAGTATATTTCTTCATAGGAAGATTCTATATATGTTGTAGTGACGAATATAATTCAAGATTTCTTAATGTTTTAATGCGTTGCATAATATTCATATCATATAAATGCTTTAATTACTTGTATTATGTGAACTACAATAGAAGTTTATAACTGAGGCTTTTACAAAAATAAGATTGTTTTTATATTCATAGAAAACTATATTCTAGTTATATACAAAGAGTAATCAGAGCAACAATGATTGATTAATTTGCAAACACAATTTCAGAAGCAATACAGTATACAGGTTTATTCAATACAAACATCCTAATGGAAATTCGTTGTACCATAGAAATGAAATTAATGGACTAACTAATTGGTGGTTTTGTATATACGTTTATTAATATATGCATACATCTGAAATTGATTTTCCAAATAAATATTAATCTTTATAAAAGGATAAAAAGCATGGGGATGGGGACTGCAGAATATGACTCCTTCTTGAAGAGCTTCATGTAAAAAAACAAATTATACAATCCACAGCTAACCTTGAAAAGGAGTTGTATTTTGCAGTTTAGTCGAAAATGGTAGTCAAGTAACATTACAAGTCCACATTGCAGATATAAGTGTTTCATGAAATGTTCCCTATTTTTTCTATGCTAGTCATATTTTAAAAAGTTACAAGTCTTTCGCTTTGAAATTGAAATACGTTGAAATAACAGAATACTTGTATTTAAAAAGTAACTACCATAGAAAGGACAGGGAATAATTTATTCAAATTATAACTTGAATATTTGTCAGATCTCCACATTAAGAGATCCAAAGATTCATAGAATCTTTTTATTACGTGGGGGGACACAAAATACCTTGAGGATTATGACTAGAAGCAGTTACCCAAAGAAAGTTTTAATGAGAAACATATAGACTGATTGATTATAATAGCTGATTTGACTTTGTGAAAGCACCTTTATATATTAGTAAAATTATAAGGTAGAAAGAAGAATTTTATGTTGGCCAAATCGTGTTTCCTTTTATTAAGTTACTGAGTAATGATGATGATAGCAGTATTTAACTGTTAACCCATTCCAGGGAGTGTCAAAGAACCTTGAGTGTATAATACTTTATACACCCTAATTAGAATATGCTACTTTCGTTAATGCTATTCGTTAAGTCTCTAAAGTTTCTATTGTCATTGTCAAATCATAATTGCGGATAATCTTTCAACATTTTGGAATATTAAGATTTTGGAAAAGTTGTGGGATAATTAGCTGATATTCAATATAGCCATTTGCGTATGTGTTTTGCCACACCTGCGGTGTTCATGTTATACGTAATGTAATGTAATTACGAACATAATTGTATTGTAATTACTGTTACCAAGATGGTTTTAATTATTTTACGTGTTTTGCAGTTCATCTAATTCAATTTAACCTAGTTGTATGGTTCTGTGCATGTGTAACGATTTTAGATTGATTGTGAGTCAGACCTGAATTATTGTGTCTTTTTAAAGATACGTGTTTTCTTAGACGGCGTGAATCACGTGAAAAGTTGAAAAAGATGTAAAAAGAATTTTCGTAAGATAATTGAAAGAAATCTATCCAGTGATTATGAATGCACCTTAATGAAGGAAAGTGACGCAGTTTCTATAACGGGGTCTTAGTCTAATGTAGATTATGATTCAGTTTACGTCATATTCGTACGCTAATTAATAAGATATTATATATTTGAAATATTTTCTAAATATTCATGAAATTAGTTTTACAATACACAACAATAGAAGCTTCAGAAAAAGAAAATCTGAGCATGTAGAATATTATTAGCAAATACTTCATTAGAATGAAAGGCACTCCAAGTGCGAAAGATAACGGCAAATCGTATAAATGAAATTCTGTACGGATCACTATATTTTAATTTGTAATATTTTTGTATGATATATTTTTCTTGTAGCATGCAAGAAAAATTTGATTTGTTGGCAACGTCGGATAAACAATTTGATATTTTACTTTGACGTGGCTTCTTAGAACGGGGGATAAATTAGAAATATAGTCAACCATGAATAAAATATTAGGTCAAAGGACATTAAGCTTATGTATGAACTATATAAAGTAACATTAGCAATCTAAGGGAAAAGAGAGTCTGAGGATGAACTTGAAAACCCATTTAGATACACCCTTAGAACATTATAACTTTTGACTCCGTAATTCCATCTTATTTATGTCTCATACAGAAAGCTCAAATTACAGAAAACCCTTTCCGTAAAAATTAGTGCTACGCTGAATAACATTCAAAGTATTTTTTTTCGAGAATTATTTATATCTATTTCAGAAAGTACCCAGGGCTATTCCTGGTTCTCATACACAGCGTACATAAAGGTTTTAAATGAATCTCAATCAAGTGAAAATACTGTTTGCAGCAATCTTAAAGCTCAAAATTAAAGATTACATCAATTCATAAAAATTCGTATTTTTTATTTTCAAACAATTTTTTTTTTCAGCTGGAAACATGATACCGTTACTACGGAATTGGATGCCAGAGTTCCTTCAGGAATTCGTGACGTCATGAAGGCATCATGATACGTCAGTACGTGATAGAAGATTATCCAAGGTAAAATATGCATTTCTTTATTATTAAGAAAAATATTTATTTGACATAATGCTAGTCACTTCGTTAATTTGTTCTCATCGCATCTTTTGCAATTCTAATCTCCAAAGTCATCTCAGCAGGGATCATAGTGTAGAAAGAACAAAAGACAATGCTGGCATTTAATTTCAAACGTTATTCCAAATGAACCTTAAATAACACCCAATCAATGAGGCTTTTGACAAATTTATAAAATTTATTCAATATTGCCACAGAAGTTTTCAAGCAGCTACACGATGCACGCATAAAACATCCTCCGAGACATTTTCAGTTGGATCGATACTGCAAGTGTCGTTACGTTGCGTTGAGGCGAGCCGTTGTGAAGAATCGCGATTGGTTGCACGCGAGCTTGTTCTAAAATTAAACGTCACGCTAAAGTGAACCTAGTTCCTTGACCATTTCTCCCCGACTCCTCTACACATTACACGTTCTCGTTGACAACAGAGAGAATGACAGCCGTTTGTTTTTGTCCTTTAGACATGATTTTTAGTATTAATTTTCAATTAATCCTCGCGATAATTACTAACGAGATCGAGTAAGATTAAATAGATCGTCCATAGAATTTCATATATTTTCAATTATTGTTATGACGTAGTGCTTCTCTGAATTATTGCTCTTGTCTTCCAGAACGCTGAGTCGGCCAAGTAGGAAATGCTGATAGTGGAAAACTCCAGACAAGCTTACTCAGCTCTTACTCGTCTTCCTCATGGAGAATCTTGGCAGTTTTCCTAAAGGGAACGATAGCCTCTGATCGATCCGTCAACGAGAAGTGCGCAGACCTGCCGGTAGTTGGCGCGCCACTCGGATGCACATATCGCTTCTGGTACTCCGTCTCGCGGTCGTCACGGACGTCACGGAGGGACCTGGGGACGCCGGTCGTCCAGCGCCTAGCTCGCTATAGCCACCTAGTGAGCGCGTCCAACGGGCTGCAAAACAATTTACATCATGATCCCGTATTCCACGTGCTTGTGTTTTGGTGGAAGAAGAGACGCTCGTCGCTGGGTTCTGCTGCACGATGAGCTCTGTCCTTTTCCGGTAAGTCAAAATAAAAATCGAGGTATATTATATATTACTATATTGCTTACAAGCGCGATATTTAAGACCGTTAACGGATCCGTAGATGCAGTTCTTGTATTTTTTAGCACGAGAAAGTTTTTTTTAATTTCTCTACAATCGAGTATGTACACAAGCTCGAGTGAGATGAAATGGTACTTTGTCACGTGTAATTAGAAATCATATCATGGGTGGAAGATGATTATGTTTGACAAGGTAGGGTGTGAGATATTATTGGTTCACTTGGAAACACAAAACGGAGATTAAGGTATGAAATAATAGTGAAAAAGGTTAAATCGAATTTCCTATATACGCTTTTACCACTGTAAAAACAAGCCGATTGCTTTTTTCCAATGCAGTCGTGCGTTTTTACTTGTCAATTAAGAATCACATCCGTTACAGTATACTATTGTCTTAAGCAATTGTCTTAAGCAATGATTTAACCATCAATATTCAAATGTCTGTTGTTATTCAGAATTTTGATTTGTTGTC